CGAATACGTGAGCCGTCAACGGCAACTGGTAGATGGCACAGCCATCGCGATTGCGCGAGCTCCTACCAGAAATTCGTTGCGCCGCCCTTGGGGGCAAAAAACGGTGAAAGCTATCGTACGAAATTAGAGGGCAGCACACGGTGCGATCGCGCGACCCTGCCCGTGAGCAATCTCCCAACTCATCTCTGATTTCTGGTTATAGGTCTCTGAGGCCAGGGATGAGCATCGTCTGCTGAGGCTAAAGAACAATATATTTATTATAGGTTATGCGGCAAGTAAATGCCAAAATGTTTGCATTTATTTGCAGATAGTCACCGGCTAGTAATTAGCCAAGGAATTTAGACGCTGTTGCAAATTTATCTAAAGAAATTACAGAATCATTTAGCTCTAATTAAAATACAAGTAACGCCATCCCAGGTTTGAATCGGTACTACGATGAGACGAATAAACATTCTACTGTTCTACCATGTCATTAAAGCGTAGCGTAGAAATATGAAAAATAGATTCAGAACTGTTCCAATTAAGAAACTAAAGTATTGAAGTAATTGGTTGTCGTTTATATGTGAAGTGCGAATGAATATAGATCTGAATAATACTGTTTGTCCCCCGTCATTCCGTTAGAAAGCGTTTTTCATGATAAATTGGTTAATGCAGAACGGTTCTCATTGCTGTGTACAATACATTGGTGGAATAAATGAGATTGAGATCATCGTCATTTTAGAGGTATTATAAACATGCACATGGAAGGAAAGTTTATGAGAAATTTGTGGGCTGTATTTTTCTTTCATCGAAACGGATATTAAAGTAAAATGTTTATTTCATGGTTTTGAACACAATGCTTTTCAGTAATGGACAAGTATTTTTTGTCAAATGCCAGTATTCCCTCGACGTCGCAAGGTCTTTTGGGCAATATGAAAAATGGTGTGTCCTGGCGAAAGCGCATCACTAGAAAGAAGATTAAGTACATGCTCATGAGCGTTGTCGTGGTGGGCGTCTTCTTCGTGTCATATCAGCTGTTATATTTCAAGGAATTGAATCGAGTAATTATAGATAACCTGATTGGCAATACTACACAACTGAGTAATAAAATCACAACTAAAAATGAACATCTCAAATGGAATGAACCACGTCATTCAAAAATGATACAAGACGCGGATGGTCATGCTATCTCCTTGAGAGGAACACGTGATCAGGATATCTCGAAATATGTCCCTAATGCCAAAAAGAAGTTTGTTTGCATAACATCTGGAGAGGAAATTAACTTCATAAAGATTAACGATGATTATTGTGACTGTCCAATGGATGGTAGCGATGAACCAGGTACTAATGCCTGCAATAATGGTGTTTTTTACTGTGGAACTTCGTCTGCAGCTTATCCAGGTAATCAAAATATTACTATTTCATGAGTAGTAATTACACATTGTTCTTGTAATAATTTTGTAATGTTTCAGCTAAAATCTCGTCATATAAAGTCAATGATGGATTTTGTGACTGTTGTGATGGATCTGATGAATGGAAAGAGATTTCAGTGAAAAGTTAATTGTAAAAAAATATATCATTTGTTTTTATAGTAATAGCTTGTTCAGTAAAAAAGTATAATAATTAATTTAATAGTTGTAGATCGTGTACATAGAGGAATACCATACAAATCGGGGTGTCCAGATCGCTGTTGATATAATCAATAGGATAATATATACGAGGTAAATGATAATATCTTAAAGACTGAGAAAACGAATTTTGGATTTGTAAATAGTATTACATTTTGCAGAAGAGTAAATATATTCTTAATAAAATATTTTGAGCTTGTGATAATGAGGTCAATGACTGTTCAGTACATCTCCCTGATGTCGCCTCACATGAAACATGATTGGAGCTTCAATGCTTTTGAAGTGAATAAGTAATACAACGATTAAGAGTCGTGCTCTTCTTTAATAGCAGCTAGTACATCAAAATGCATTTCAAGACTTCTTTGATCATTTTCATAATGTAGGGAATGTTCTACTAGTACCCCTAATCTCTGTAATATATTACAAAAACTTTCTTCTTCTTTCCGAATCCAAGGTCTGTGTTCATCCCGTACTTGTTGAGGGGTCACATGTACGTGAACATTTATTTCTGAAAGATGGTGAAATAAGTCATCTGCATAAAATCAGATTCTGATGAATTTAAATATTAATGTTTGTATTTTAGATTAAAATGACCAAATATTTCTTTTTGGCAAGCCGTAATTAATTTGATGGAACTTACTCAGTTTTGAGAATGACTCCAAAATACTTTTGTTCGTGATCCACGTGTCTTTTTTGCCACAATGACCACCATCTAACCACGCCATATCTTTTATACGTTCAACAAATTCTTTTAAGTTTTTATCTACAATTTGCTGGGTGTGAAGAGTATGAAATTCATGTAAAATTTGATTTAAAACAACGCATCCTTTACTAAATCCCATTAAGACTAATTCTGCTCTTTCAATGTCATGTGGATATATCCCCTAAAATGATACATTTTCTAAATATGTATAATTACACTAAATATATAAGTTATTAATTATTTAGATATCAATACTAGTTTAAAGTTTAATCTTTAGTAAATATCAATCAACAAACCTGAGATGTATCTTGAGACGCAAGGTACGTTGATACCGATAAAAGGAGTTTTTCCAAATGTTTTAGTGCGTCGAGTGAAGATGAAAATGTTGGAACACCATACTTATTCCCTGGGACAAAATTATCGTAACAAGCGAATACTCCATAATTCATATCCTCCATCCTGATAAATATTAGAATTAAACAATATTATACAGTCATAAAGAACAGTCTTACTTTAGTAATTCAACATAAAATATCATTTGTATCTTAAATATTTTACCTTGAAGGTCGAATGACTATTACATGATTTCGAGGGAATCTTGCTGCCAACAATTGCATTGTGCTCTCTAAGCTCCAACGCAAGTATTTTTTACTGTCATTGTGTACTTTCATAGCTTCTTCCAAATCCTATTGTAAAAATATTCGTATCATATCACGTTCACATTCTATCTTTCGAAAGTCATGAAATTGTTTGCCAATATTGTCAAAAAGATCTTCCAATTATTAGGATCCAAATTAAAATTGTTCTTCATGAAATAAGGAATTTATTTAATTTTGCATACAGATATTTCAGTTTATCATATAAAAATTTAGATGACATTATATGTATATTACACAATTTTAAAATGTATGCTTCAATGCCTTTTTCTGACATGGTTCTGTATATAAAACATACTTGCACATCCCCACCAAAAAATATAAGTAATCGTTGGATTCTGGATAATATTAACGGAGAAAGGTAAAGTATATCGTTGCTCCGCCCAGCCAAGCCGGACATTTTCCTTAAATATAATATTTTAGATGCCATTCTGCAATTTCAGTACACCGACTGCCATTAGAAGAATCTTTATTATCTTCGTTAACTGTTAACTGTTGATTAATAAACAATAGATCTATGTTAAATTCGTCAACTGTGAAAACTGTAGGGGTTTGTTTTGACGGTTCGCCATTTTTGGATCTCAACTGACATTCGCTATTAATCATAAACCTAGGTATCGTAAACATATTACATTCTCTAGGGCAATATAATTTACTAAAGGAATTATAAATTAATCTGTTAGTTATTACACGAGATATACATTATTTCAAATAGCGTTAAATAGCGTTACTCTAACGTGATATCGATGGGGAGTTTTATGGGAAGATGTTGGCAGCGCCAACATTTAAATTTTTGGCGCGGACCGAATTTCGATACTTATGCTCCTTAGAAGAAGCACGTTGTTGTATTCAATCAACATGAACATTATACTTTTGAGAGCGGGTTGTCGTTGGTTTCCATTTTCTGTATTAATAGAAAAATCATTTGGCAGAAATTATTGCAATGAAGTAGCTTTACTTTGTATTCTTTAGAGCCTACCGATGTTCTTTGAATATTTCCTTAATGTACAGAAAAGAGCTAATGCATTTCCGTTGGATATCAGTAATCCGTGGAAATATTGTTATACTTTGTTTAATAAATATGATTGTAATTACATATTTAGATTTCGGAGAAGTCCCACTTGATAGCCTACTTGCGTCGACGTGAATTGTGAAATACACAACAGTTAGGCGCGGGTTTATTTTCGGGACATTACTAGGCCACGCATTTACACTCAAATTAGAATCGTATCGAAACACGTCCGAATATACTGCATTCAAATGCATTTGCAATAACTCATTTGCATGCTTGGATTTCTGCTCAGTGCACGAACGACCAGACAATGTTCAATATAGCAATATCCCTCTCGACAGGTTTATTTTTCAGTACGTATCCCAGTAAACACAAGAGAGAAAATACGGGCTGATGAGGAACTTAATCGTACCTCTATTATACTTAATTTATTTATACAGAAAATATAAAGTCCGTAGGAAAAATTACTCTACTTATTAAAAAGTCCCTCTCAGTTTCCCAAACACCTGACTTTCCAGAAATGCTGTTAATAGTCATTATAAAAGTACAAATAAATTATACTACTTGAGTTACCGTTGCCTCTCTTTCGTGCTGAGTTCATAAAAGTATTATACACATTAAACGTATTACAGTTCGACACTTATGTACATCTTACATTACGGGCCTACGTACACTCTACAAAAACTATTGATCAAAAAGTAAATCAATACTGTTAATTTTCCTGATATCAGGAAGGGTTTTCGTTGCATTATCGATATCACTGCTCATTCAGGAAGTGGGGCTGCCGATGGGAAAATCTTCTGATTTTCGGTCGAATATATACAGCGAACGACCTCCAGTATCTCTATACTTGCTTTATGTAAATTTTAAGTGAGTACCTAAATATGTCCAGGTACAGAAGCGATTATCGTGGGCAATTATCGGCGCGGATACGCGTCTGCATTTACGCGGCACACGAAGTACCGGACAGACCTTCTAAAGAACACTTTGAGGAAGTCCAGCCTCGTTTTTTCCACAACTTCCTTTGCGAGCACTACTCTGGATCCATTCCGCAGCATAAAAGCATTCTTATTCGTAATTCCGCCATGGCCTTCGTCACGTCATTTTTAAGCTTTTTGGCCTTAACGCGAACGTCTTCGCGCATAAGGTCGTAGCACATGGCGATCAGTCCCATGCCCAAGAGGAGATATACAAAGTTGATCACCAACTTGGTCTGGCTACCGTCTTCAGGTTCTAAAATTCTGGCACCGGGCACGAAGTCGCCTATGCCAATTTTGCAAAGCGAGGTGACGCAAAAGTAGGCGCTGTCGAGATAATTCCAGCCTTCCCATTCGCCGAACATAATGGCGCCCCCGATGACGTAGCCGAAGAGGACCCAAAGACACGCAGTCGAAGGGACCGTGATGCGAGCTCTTTGGCCACCGCTGCACTCGTGTGTCCATCGGTACAGCCACCTGTTAGAAAGTGCAAAAAATTGTAGTTTAGCGTGACAAATTATTACTATCCATAAATAAAGAATAATTCCGTCTACAATGTGTTGTCGATATGGTCCCACCCGATAATACCGTAGCGTTCGTGTCACCAGCCAAGTACATATGAAGCTTTTGTGAATGGTGTCCTGCTTTTCGTTAATTTATATCTAGTTAGTTAAGATATCCTGAGACCTTTAATATATTAATGTATTAGCGATCTTTTAGGATATAGCACCTGAAGACCTGCGCCAGGATCTTGCCCATGTTGAGGAAGTAGAGGACGTAAAGCGGGATTCCCAGCACGGCGTACATGACGGTGACACCCTTGCCCCACGGTGTCTTTGGGACCATGTTCCCATAGCCGATCATGGTGAAAACCGATAAGCAGAACATCAGAGCCGCTGGGAAGGTCCAGATCTCCTTGGCCGACCTGCCGTCGTAGCCTTCCTTTGCGGCCAGGGTGATTCGTTCCTGGAACCTCTTCAGGATCGCGTCGGTTCTCTTCAGGAAGGCCTTCCGGTCCAAAACGTTCACCCTGACGTCCCCGGCTGTGCCTGTCCACAGTTCCTCGGCGAAGGCCTTCCTCGTTCCGGCTATTTGGCTCAGGGCTGCGTATTCTTCTTGAGTTTCGATGAGGATGAACCCGAAAGCCCCGACGATGGCGTAGCTCACCACGAGGCCACCTACACCGACCTACAATCGGTATTAATATTAATACTCGCGTCAAATACCCAACGTATCATTTTAGAATTCATTTTTTAATGTACTGAGTGGTTAGATTTGTTTGTAATGGGTAGAAGTGTCCAAGACAATGTCACCTGCGTGCACATGAAGGCTATCACTTTCCGGCAACAGTCCTTCACCCTCTCTCGGGGGTCTGGTCCTGTGGAGGTGCTCGAGGATTCTCTGCTCCTCAGGGATGATCTCACGGTGACTCTCGGCATGGTTATTTGCTTCCACCTCGGTTTAAACTCCTTTTTCTCCGACGACTCTCTTCTCGTCGCCTAAGAACCTACGTGGATTGCCGGTCTAACGTTACCGCGTGCTCTGGAACGCTTTTCTATTTTCGTCGGTCGCTTGTCCTGGCACGTAGAACCGAGCCCCTCCACTTATACTGATGTAACTTGCGACCGATGGAGAGCTATTGACCTTAGTAGGTTAAATCCAAAACCTTTTACTTGAACGTCTCCTTGCGTTTATTCGCCATTTCAACATTCAAAGGGTACCAATGTGTCTTGGATTTAGTTTCGTCGAAATAGACGCCGCTGTTGCAGCAAACGAAGTGCTCTCGGATTTTTGTAAAGCGGCAAAGTCTCTTTTTAATCCATTCCATAGACGTATATTATGCATGGGATGGGAGGGGATAAAATTCTGCCATGTACGTGAAATTAAAGTGAGTCCAGGAGGCGTGGAGGGGTAAATTCTAGGTACAGGTGGCGGCAACTTTCCCATGTACCATTTATGACGGACAATGTACATTCGGTACATACTGAAATTTTCTTGCAGTCATTAAGAGTTGACAATTGGAAAACTTGTGATAGGAAATTAACGCCGAGCTCTGCGTTTCTAAGATGTCCAAGATTTACTTCGTCTTCCGAAAACTGGCGGGATCTTGAAAACGCGGATAGGGCGATTAATGTAATTAGTAAATAAAAAGTTCGCGCGAAACCAGGGTAAACAGTGCAGGTTATTTGTAAAATTTAACAAGATGTGACATACAGATGTTACATTTAAGCGGTATGACCCGAAGCGCTTTAAAGCACACGCAGTGCATATATTGCAGCACGTATTATGGAACCCAACGGAGGGTCGTGCAGTATAATTAATTGTAACTATATCACCGAGAAAGGGGAGCACCACGTTCAATTCGTACGTACTTTAACACGTTCATAGGTTAACCACGTTATGCTTCGGAATGGAATATTCCTAGAACCAAATTATTCGCAGGTACTGTTTTGCCCCGGTGAAATAATTTCCTTATCTGCGTGCACCATGTTGGTCGACGCACTGATTAACTTGCCCTTCAAATAGAGTTAGTCATCGCCAAGGAGAAAAAATAGAAGAAAAAAAATAGAGGCGTAATTTACATATCAGTTAGTAATTACGGTATAGCGTAATATCCACGGGAAAATTGATCAAAGAGGCCAAGTGTGTCGTCCAATGCCTATCTAAAAATACTTGGACTCGTCAGGGACTTGAACTCGTGGTCACGAAACGAAACGGTCATTTTTGCGATTAGTTCAAAAATAAACCGAGTTGAAAAAAAAAGAAGGAGAAAACTCGAATTCCAGAGTTAGGCGGTACTCGAGGCTAAGTGTTGTTACAATAGACACGCCCGAAACTCCAGAAATATTCGGATTAATGTGCCAGTGGAGAAACGAACCTTGTCAGGAAGTGACCAATAGTGACCAAAGTGCGCGATAAACGGAAGGCAGGAGAAATGATTAAAGGAATGTAATCACCTTCTGTAATGTCTGCACGATCGCTTTTAGATGCTCATTGCCGGGTCCTCTAGCGAATCGACCCTAAGTTAAATTGATAAAGGGCATAAATTGATTCAAGGAAAGGACGATCCCCAATCCACGGGTGTGTCCACTTCCAAGTATCACTTGGGGCTCCTGTAATTAACCTCAAGTAGTAAATTAATCGTCTGATGTATTCGTCGACCATCAGCCGTGCAATTCTAGCTGCAACCCTACTTGTCGTCCAGGATTAACGCCGCGAAAATGCAGATATATCGGCAACTTTTCTTCATCAGAAGCTGTATTCAAAGAGGGGAAATACTTCCCTTGATATGAAAAGAACAATTCAGATGAAAAATGACGCCCCCCATGAATTGCTCCTTTATCTGCCGTTTATGCTCCACAATGTACAACGGATGAGCTTTATTATAATGCTCGATTTTAGCGGTCGCTCGTGCAACCTGCTAATCTTTTCGTGACTTTTCGGTATAATTACTCCTGCTCTTTGATGTCGCTTCAGGCCCGATGAACTACACAGACCGTGGGAGTTTTCAGTGCAGTGCAGTTGCAGGTGAATCACGGTGATCACCGGTGCATCTGTCGGGCGCACCAAAGCGCTCATGCAGTGGCCAGTTGAGTAGTCAATTGGTTGGTCTATATATATAGAGTGGCTACGAATGGTCACTAGAGTGTGCAAGTTAAATCCCGTGCGAGGATGGGATCTTGTGTAATGTATGATCTCGGGGGTTGGCTACCACGAGTTTACGAGAGGATCAGTCGTGCACTCGTCGTCGCGCCGGTTGCATCTCACCGATTCGCAAAACCCTGACCCCAGACACCCTCCGTACCATGCGATTCGCCCTCGTTCTTGCTTCCGTGTACTTTCTGACTTCAGGTAATCCAGGTGTTTCGCAAAATTCGTCTCCGAGGCCAAACGAGCCCCTAAGCGCCTCGACATTTCCAAAAATAGCACTCTTAAGGCGATATGTTGTTCAATATACACAAAACGTAAAAATAATTATAAAACTTTTCTCCAAACTGGATGCACGGAATCATTTGAAACCTTAACACGTGAAATTTCATTTCTCGCAAAAAAAATGTGATCTTGGTTCTAGTCTACTGTAAATAAAAAAGAATTTTTTTGCAAAAATCAATTTTCACAGGGCCTTTACAATCGCGTGCTGAAGTTTCAAATTATTCGGTGCATTCAGATTGGAGAAGAATTTTATCAATGTTTTGACGTTTTATGTATAGAGAATGACCCTTTCATGTCACGTTAAGATATTAATTTACAATTTCTTGATATATTCATCCGGTCCAGAATGCATTATTTTATGCACCTTCGAGAATCAATAGTTCGAGATGTATCGGATATTAAATACGAGGGGTACTCCCAGTACTCGTGGAAAGTTCGGAAGGTTCTTTCTTGGTTTCGCTTTCATTGCTCCTTGGTTCTGCACTTTGCATATAACCATAACTACGGCAAATTGAGTAATAAAAAAATATTTGGTGCCGCTTTACACGTTCATACGGCAAGCGCACGAAGATACGATTCAGTGATCCTGCTGAATATTCCTTAAACGTTGGATATCTCTTGAATATCTGGGCTTCTTGGATGTAGGGTACTCGCGATGTACTGTACTGGGCTCCTTCTTTCAGGGGTAATTTAAGAATTTGTTTGTTTCACATTTCTAGGTCACAATGTCGCCGTGAATTTATTGTGCAAAATTAGCGGGACGAAATTACGTTACGCACGACAGGGCGAAATTTATTCCCCAGCTTGATGTGAAATGTGGAATAAATGTCGACGCGTTTCTCATCTCGTGAACTTCCGAATGGTTTATGCTCGTTTTTACGCTGTGACTTCACTTTCCGAGTAGGATATCTTTATAAAGTGCAAAGTGCGTATTGCATTAATTTATGCCCGATTTATTCGGCTGAGTCTATTGTACGATTAATGGAAATCCGGTGTAACGAATTCTGACTTTACTTGGGTAATGTGCACTGAGGTTTAAAATCATTTCGGTAAAATCTAGCCAAGGAGGAAAAGTATTGCTGCAATAAAACATGTTTTTTATGTAGATATATATTTATATTTACACGTACTAAATGATTCAGGCTCTATTTCGACTCCTAAGAGCATTCATCTATTTTCATAAAAGTTGACGGTCCATTATGTACTGGCGAATTTAATAAATCGTTCTCTGGCGAATTAAGCACTTCTGTCGAGCAGTTTGACAGAGTGGCGACTGTTTATTGAATTATGTCAGCCATCCGAGAGATGAGCCCCTTAAATGCGAAGCTACTGGGTGATCAAACCGTTAATTAAATATCGCGTGCCAACTGATTGCAGTGGAACTACTACCTTGTAATTTTATTCCCTGTGAAAGGTAATTCGCCAATACGGCAGGACAATCACAGTGCTCCGTCGTGCAATTTCGTTTCCATTAAGTATGTAAATTTCTTTTTTTGGATAATTTACCGGAATGATAACGCTTCACGACACGTACCGTGCAGTTTGTTCATGCATCTGCATACGAATTATTGTGTCAATAATCGGGATTTCGGCGGTTTGCAAATACATTTGGTCGGATATTTGCATCAGAGTTACAACAAAAATACAGCCGATGCGAAAGCACCAACAAATAAAGCGTCGGCGTTCTTGATTAATAATTGGCCCATTATTAAAGCCTTAACGAGGGTGCACTTCCGGTGAGTGCAGAAGTTAGGTCGTACTTAATGTAATGTGCCGAAGCTCATTTGCTTATTCAAGTGGTGGCTGAGATTAAAATACTTTTTTCTTTTCGATATTGGCGATCAGTGTTTCGTCTCGCTTGATTCAACTCTTGACTACCTATGTCCACATCGGTAATGATTTTCTTTTTCAAAATCATCTTTCCATTTTCAGTCATGTAAAGTCATTAAAGCAGGTGTCAACAAGTTTTGCATTTCATGGGAGATACGTTACCACTTCCTGACAATTGATTGCAATTAATATTCAAATGTATACGTGATAGCGCCTATATAGATGTCCCGAGCGAAACGTTATTTACGGCAGTACCTTGAATTTCATGTCAATGGCAATGCCTAGGTTGGGTCGAGGCATGGCAATTGAATTGAACGAGTAACAAAGAGGAATAATGACAAAATACATACCTGTCCACTTTGCATGTGTACGTAATTCCAAACGAGCACTCATTGCGAAAGGCCACCTCGTGGGAACTTTCAAAAATTTCATTTTGAGTAATGATTTTCAACACGATTGGGAGAACAAGGCTTTCTGAAAGAAAATTTAACTTTTTTTAAGATTTACTTTGTAAGGGTGGATATTAATATAACTAATAGATTCGGTTTATACGGGTCACATAAATTTGCCCGAATATTCGGGCGAAGGAAAGAAATGGACCAAGAGACTTGGGAATTAATTTCATTAATCCGTTAATATTTTATTTCAGGTGTAAATGCGTCCGGAGGTGGTCACTGGTCGTACTGGGGTGAGAACGGTAATAAAGAAAGACATTAATTAAAACCCTGACATTCATTTATTGTCGGCGTTACTGCATTTTGATACGTCCGTGCACCCTGAAAAGTCCTAACGAGCTTTGCCATTAATTTCCAATATTTGCATCGGGGTCCCGGCGCCTCTGATTACCTGGACATGTTTTAAAATATTGATGCATGTATCGTGCATAAAGAACAATAATGTCGTGTATGACATGCGGTCAATCAAGTGGATTGCATACCTTTAAGTTCGGCCTTCTCGTGACTTTACTTTTTGTTATCCTCCTGCGTAACAAATCACGCCCGGTCGTCTCGTAAATCTCTTTTACCTTGAACAAACAATAATTTTTTGTTAAAATCGCCCGTGGTGCCTCTTCTATAAATGTGCCATGAGCATTTGAAACGTATCGCTTCGCCACTCGACCTACTGATTGAGGAAATGATGCTCCGACAACTGATTGAATAATTGCCAATTCGAGAATAGCCTTACGTATTTAACGCTATTTCGTTACTATTAAGGGCCTTCTTGCTGCCTTTTTTTCCCTCAACAACCTGTAATTTCGTTAACAACGCTCCCGTTTGTATGGGCTTGTGCATGACCAAGATGGCGCGTGCAGCAATTGCTCCTTGTGCAATTCAATTTTCAACGACTAAACAAATCTATCGAAAGTGCCAGGAAATTATTTTACCAGCGGGTATCAACATTTCGGAGACATTATTTGTAAGCTCGTACACAATTTCGGTGTCGATATAATCCTGCGCCATTAATTAATAACATCCAGGATGCGACTTGCGGCCAAAGGGAGGAAATGAAATTGGAAATTAATGGGAAATAAATAACAGTTAGGGGATATTAACCGAAGCAAGCCCAGGGTCGAATAATCGACGTGGCCATTGTATTACGCAATTAATAAAAATTCCGGGGTGGTTTATTCGCAATTAATGGCATAATTGCCCGTCTACCTACACCAGGCATGTTCTCATTGTGCGAGGTAAAACACTCTCGGGTTACTTTCTCGATCTGAATTGAGATACGGCACGATTTGCTGTCCAAAGCAAATTCACGAGGTCCCCCGGATCGTTACGCTCTATCATGCACGAGTGAGACCCAATTAACCCGTACAATGTACCTATCAGAGCTTTATCACGTTTCTTTTCATTGGAGCATATCGGATTCGGATGGATATTTAATTGCCAAGTACGTTGTCACCTGGGGCCAAACGTGAGGTGGAAATTGACACGTTTGAGTATTTGGAGGTGGAGAAGTGACGCGAGTGCGCCCCATTACTGAGAACCACCCCTTGTTACGAGTAATTGCGCACATCCACGTGATCTAATGTTCTATACTGTGGAGAAAATCAGTGGCAAAGGAACGTGACAAGTATCTTTAACCTGCTGTAATCCGTAGGAAAATAAATACCTTCTGATAGCCACGAATGTTTGGTACTAAAATGTCCCATTATTACACTGAGAAGAAAGATTACTTCACTGAAACATATATTATTCCCTACATTACGTGCAATTGCAAGAAAGGATTAATTTCCTGAGAAGAAAATTTGACGTTGATTTAAAACAATGGTGTTTACTCAATCTGACATCTCTTTGGATGTATTTGGTCGCAGGATTTTGTTATTGCGATGCACATTTCTTTGAGCCAACCAACTTTTTTCTCAGGGTATAAGGTTTTTATTTATACAGTTTCTAGGGTTTATTTAATAATTCTCTGGTTCTTCGCATTAATATCGTGTATATGACGAGTTGGGTTTCATTTCAGGACCTGCTGATTGGCCGGGATTATGTGCAAAGGGGGAAAAGCAATCGCCGATTAACATAATCCCTGACGACACGATTAAATCAGACATTGGCCCTCTGAAGTTCATTCGCTATGATTTTGCATACTATGGCAAAGTCGTCAATACAGGACACAGTGGTAGGTGGGACGATTTTCCACTAGATTTTTTATTAATGGCATCTTTTGACAAAGGTGAAATATCCGGATGTTCAGACCCCTCCTTGCAATTCCAGTGCAAATTACTCTGAACAGCATACCTATCTTATTAATGGGCGGTGGTCTGAAGTCGACGTACGTTTTGGAGCAAATGCATCTGCACTGGGGAGCCGAGCACACCGTGGATGGGACCCGAGATGCAATGGAGTTGCATCTGGTGCACTATGACAAAAAGTATGATAACGTCAGCGCAGCTGCCGAGCACGATAAAGGACTCGCCGTCGTGGCCGTATTGTTTGAAGTAAGGACCAGGATAATATTTGGTGAATTTTCCGAAATTACCTCTTTCTAAATGTCCCCCCTAAATGTACGATTTGCATACTTTGGTTCTAGCAAGGCCCCGAGGATCACGGAAATCTGACGACCATTTTGAAGGCTGCGGAATCGACCTCGAACGCGATAGGAGTTCCGGTGAAAACGCAGACGAAAATAGTACCTTTACTTTTACTGCCCAAGGATCATACGACGTATTATCGTTACGATGGATCCTTGACGACCCCAGGTTGCCAAGAGTCCGTAGTTTGGTTCGTCCTTACGGAGAAACAGTCGGTTTCGGATTTTCAGGTAAACATCCGACTTGTGTCCTTCATCGAACAACATTCTCAGTTATTACGATGCTCCTAACGATGAAAATGATGAAAAGTTCCGAGTCAGTTGATTAATTCAGGAATGAACTTTCTGGATTTCAGTTGAAAGTCCTGAGGAACCTGCAGGTGAACAACGACACTTTGAGCCACAACTTCAGACCGGCACAGAAGCTTGGATCTCGAAAAGTATACCTCCACCTAGATGGCTACTCTACAGCATCCTCTTCGAATCCGCGTATAAAGCTTGCGCTGACAATGGTCCTGGTCAGCAGGTACCTTTTTAACATTGCTTGAGGTAAAAAAAAGGAAAACTTACTCGTCGACCGCTCTCGAGGCTGGAGCTCTTCCCTTAAATCCTAGATTAATCGACGATCGCGTCTAATTAGCTGGAACTCTTAGAGTAATTCCACCAAGACAGGGTATACGATCAGCCGATATCAGCGGTTTTTCGGTCGATGTATGTTATCAATTCTAAGTTACATGACAACGACGTCACGTGCCAAAACTAGCCACGCGTTTCCCGGTTAGTTAAGTAAGTTAAGTGATATACATAAGTACAAGGAACCTGGTACAAAGTCGGACATGTTAATAGATGCCTATACCAAAGGGATTGTACAAAGGGTGTAGTCGTCGGAAGTATTTTACACGGGGCTTATCGCCGACCAATGTGGGAACCATATGTGTTATTAATATACCTTGTGATATATATGTGTATATGCGATAAACGTATGGACAAGTTACGTTACTTCGCGCTGCTTCAATTCGTGAAAATAATCGTAGTTAGCCATTTATACTTCTCTGTATTGGACGTGTCTGTATGTACGCCACTCGCGTAAGAAACCTTATCCCGATTCGATTGGGTTGTTAAAGAGCGATTCCATACATGTAGGATGTAATCGGGTACGATACTTACTGCGAGTACTATACCTTCAACTGGGATATAGGTGCATGCAATGTGCGAATAAATCTTTTGGTTAACAAAGATCTTTTCCCTGCTCCTCATTCTGGACAGGGAGGTCGGATTGAAGTGTCTATTACAGCACGAAATCTTTATTAATACTGGACAATGAAATTTCCAAAATCTGGAGTTGAACCATTCGAGTATAAACGTTTCCAGTTTATCCCAGCAGAATATCTACGCCTTCGGGAACTTTATACGAGTTCCGGAAGTATTACGAGCTCCGAGTTTCCATCTTTCGCGGAAGTCAGTGCTCCATTGTAAATTATCATTTCGAAACTTTTGAACAAAGCCGCCGGCGCTACAATATCACAAATTTTCTGGAGGAAGCTCGTTGTTGGCAGTGAAAGTTGGGCCTTGGAAAAGTTCGGCAATGGAGCTACTAAAAATCAGAACAAATCGTTTTCCCACGGACGGTTGTCCTCCATGGTTGCAAAATGTGCACGCAATGGAGAACCTGAATACAAGCGAGTTCCAGGAGTATCTTTAATTCAGAGTCTCAGTCTTTTGCGGGAATTGGCCTCGATTTAGGATCTTTATCGTTACACTTTGCAGTCCAGTCTGTCGGCGATTCGAGATCGCAATTTCCAAAGACGGAACTGCTTACAAAGAGAGTCGGCGAGGGTATACCGCGGGGTCTTTCTTAGTCTGCTGCAGTTGATCGAAAAATGGACAAAGGATCTCTCACGAGATACGATTTTAAAAAATCAACTTTCGTCACTTTCCGCTCGACGAATGGGAGCCTTGCGCGTTTCTCTCGATTTCTCTCTTCCGCGTAAACCCGATTTACATACATTGTTCTCGAGGGCCGGAAACGAATCGAGGGCAACAAGGGTTCGTTTGTTCTACCTATAATCAAATATAGTGTCTCCTTATTCTAGACGGTTTGCTCTTGCATTGAGTCAATTTGTCCTGCGGTTGCTTCTGCTTTTTCTCGCCTGTCCGGCTTTGATGGCATCCGGTTGCTAGAAACTCTATACTGGTCCCGTGTTCCTCGATTTTCCCCTGGTGAGGTACATTGCGAACATTGACGACGTACGTGCAGTCATACTTCAACTGACGTATATCGTAGTGGGGCGCCTGTCGATCAGAACGTTATCAAATTATAACATAAACTTCATCAATATCTAAATTAAAATCGATAATTATTCTCAACACCGCTGTCAACCCTCCCGGATAACAATCCACCAATGTGATAAGATCCGATGAAACCTTAGGTTCAGTTCCACATTTTTATTCGAACTCCACTTAAAGATACCTCCTTAGTACTCGGAAGAGCTGGAGTCGAAAAATTGGCCCTGTTAAAATCTATAATTGCAGACCTTAAGTCGGTTTTGAGGCGACGTAAAGAATAGTACTCCACAATTGAGGCCCTACTTTAAACTTTAAAAGTGGCAGATATTTCCATGTCCTCTATAAGCTTAATGTAGGAATTAAAAAATGAGATAAGACCAAAAGAGGTCTTAGCTTCTGGAGGTTCAAATTGAAGTTAAGAATTGGACTCGGAGCCAGCAGAGAAAAATTGCCCCCGACAATTTCTTCTTCATTTCCCAATTTTTCTTAGAATTACTCTCTTCGAGAATCGCCAAATCCGGTCGGAAAGTATTCTCCCGCGATTGCTATAAATTTTCTTCGATCGGTAAGGAACTTCGAGGCGCGGTGCTCTAGGATAGTAACAGTGGGCAAGTCGTCTCACAGTTACCTCGGTGACGTTTATGGACGTACAGCCTCGTTCGAGATTCCCCGTCGATTCGCTTTATATAAGCAACGAGAGTGAACGAAAGAGATCGGGAAAGAAAAAATGAAACCGGCAAGCCAGGGCAAACGTGAACCAAATAAATTCACACCTCGCTTTCTACTTTCTCGTCAATATCGGGCGACTTCTCCTCGAATGGCGGATCGCGGGGGAAGGGGTTGTCAAGATAAGGTCGTATCAGTGAAACCTCGACGTACGCCTTCGGTTTCGGCTTACCTCGGTGATCCTCGAGGAGGTCTTGCGATGGAAATCGGGATTTCGAGTTCCACGCGAGGTCGAGCAGGATTCCTGCCTCCAAGAGACGTTGTACCTTTTTGCATCCACGCTCGGCGGCCACACGAGTCTTGCGGTTATTTCCCCGCATTGACAGATCATTCTGCGTACGTGTAAACCACCTTGATGGCGTTCGCATCTGCGAGAACGTCTTCCGCCCTCGGCTGCGAAGAAACGATACCTTTACGGTCGTCACCTTAGAAACCGCACGACACCTTTGCAGGTGAAAACGCACCGACTGATTCTGCACTCCCTAAATTTAATGGTATTAAATGAACTCTAAGGAATATTTACGCAATCGGTACTCTTCGAGATATCTGGAAAATATCTCCACGAGTGAAGGAGAATCGCGATTAGGTACTTGATGAGTATCTAATACAATGATGAGTACCCCCATTACAATCATGAGTGCACTCTGGTTATGGATTAATTATAAATTTTATGGAATTACGGTCGTCACCTTAGAAACCGCACGACACCTTTGCAGGTGAAAACGCATCGACTGATTCTGTACTTTTAAGATTTAATGCTATTAAATGAACTCTAAGGAATTTTTACGCAATCGGTACTTCTCGAGATGAATGCGAATCGCCGTTAGGTGCTTGATACATTTCATAACTACAAGGGCACTCTGGCTATGTTTTAATTATAAACCTTACCGAATTTTGTGTAATCGGTACTGTTGAAGACTTTGGACGCCTTCCGCGACGCCAATCTGCGACCTCCGTATAGAGCCACGGCTTGGACTTGCAAAAAGTACTGGCAGCTCAGCTCCAAGTTCTTCAGCTCGTAGCACATTTTGTCCTGGGAAATCAGTAGCTAGGGTTACTCATAATAACCGTGTTGGGCGATTCCGAGATGGCGTAGTCGAAGCGGGAAGTGGTAAAAATGGATTTGAAAAAAATGGATGGTACGAACCGTCGAAGGAATTATTAAGGCATATTTATACAGCCGCGCGGTCGATACGTGGTACCATGGTACTTTTGTATTACTGTAAATGTAGATTTTTATGTGATGGTATATGCCTATTAGCATATTGGCTCTAACGGGGCTATGTAAGAGCGGGTAGGGTGATGATGTACGACGGCGTTCAATGGATGCCATTACGTGGCAATGACACGTAAGCGATGTAGACACCTACTTGTCGTAACCGAATGTTAACACGGTGCTCCGGATTTGTTTGACCTTTTTCGATGCCGGAGATTAGTAACTCTGTTTTATTATGGGCAGTGAAATCACCTTAGGTACGGTGCGATGGTAAACCAAGATGGAGTCGTTGTTGGGGCCGTGAATGAGCCGACTCCAGAAGACCTTGTAGAACATTATTGGAACATCGGAGGGTGGTGGTCTCCATCGAAGATTAACACGCAGTTTCCCAGCAGCTACACGTGCTCCACTTAACGTTAAACTCTGAGGCTCCTTCGGGTTGCGCGGCTCTGCAAAATTTCAAATCCGACATGATCGATTGCCCTTTTTTTGCCCGAATTGGCCTTCTTCGCTGAAACATATCCTAACCCATAACATAACTACCAATAATGCTAATAACCATGAGAAATTAATATGTGGAATATTTCCACCCTAGATTCCTCTTTTGCGGATTCTGATAACGTTTCGAGCTTATCGTTACCGTATTTTTAAAACGTCACGGTCATGTCATCATCTCGCATGTTAAGAGGAGGACCACTCTTTTTTTTTGGAATTTCTTTGTTTCAGGAATTTTGGGAAACGATTTTTTTTAGAATTTTCGGAAATTACGTTTGAAACCAAAACAAGTTATCTAGGTCGCTCTAAAGGCGGTTATGAGACGAGTAGAAATCGACACTTCGAGTTTAAGAGTTGCCTGTGGAGCCTCGTTAAGTTACTTCTTAACGAGGGCCGGTAATGGCCACGGAAGGGAAAATAACGAGTTATCGAAGTGCTCTTGGGCTCTTCGAGGCCAGTTTGCGTTTTCGCGTTCATCCGCGAACAAACAACATTAGCCCGCCCCGTACAAGCGTAGGGCATATTTGCAGATTTGCGTGTTTGCGATCCCGCGATCTTTTCGAATTCCGAGCAAGATCGCCTGCCACTTCACACCGAGTGCTCACCCTCGACGTGGACCATCCACTCGAGGGACTTTCGCAATTAAACTGTTTGCCAACACAATGGCCCCGCCGACAGTCCGGCATTTAGGAATGAAGGAACATTTAGGGTTGTTAATTGTACACGGTTTACTTTGGGCATGCCTTTATCGGCACTAAACATTGGGTTCTACCAGAAGTTCTTGCTCTTTAAAAGTACGTACGGAAACCTTAAAGTACTCGCAACAATTGAAATCTCATTCGAGCGTCGTTTCCATCTTCACCCCTGAATGCGTCTATTCTGACAGGAATAACTCCTATTTTCCATTTAATTTAATTCCCTACGAATTCGTAGACGAATCATTAAGAGGTCACTCTTAATAAACACTTATTTAACGACTACACATAATTAGTTTTAGGATCAGTACGATGTAAACATTCTCGAATGAATCCGATCCCGAGTGCCTCGAGTGAATCTTCATCCTTAATTCGTCCTCGTTGCCTGATTCTTCTCTTCAAGATCTCAGGACAGGAATAAAGGACAGCAGGGAGAGGTCGATGCTTACCTTTTGTCTTGAAGGGTCGAGAGGGTCGCGAATATCCGCGTGATCCATTTTCGTTGATGGCGGCCACGCGAAACTGGTACCAATGTCCCGTCTTAAGACCTCCACGAAGAGAGGCGTGGGGTTTGGTGGACACGTGCCTCACCGACCAGGAACTCAGTCTAGATTCCAGGTACCTCGGCCCCAGGAGATGCCTTTCCTCTACCAGATACCTGACGGAGATGTTACTGGGGTGCGGGGGTGCCTGCCAGTTTAGCATCACCAGGTTCGTCGTCTGCTGGCGAATTTGGATGGTCTCGGGCACGGGAGGTAGATCTACAAGAGGTTCAGCAATTTTTCCTCCAGGTCCGCTTCCAACTGCTCTGCTTCCTACTTTTTAATTCCTAACTACAATAACCCATCCACGAAACCTTCCAAACACTAATCCGTGGATTAGGATGTACCGCTGGGACCCCAACACCAACTTAGGAGCTGATCCCGAGTCCACTTCCCAACGCAACCCCAATATCGAAGTCGGTGCTCCCAGCGTTCATTCACCCTCAACTAACATAAAAGAATCTCGCGTCCCATTCCCGTGAAACTCAAGACCCACTCCCAGGACGTGGGTCCCAGCCTTCGGGGGACCATCCGCTCAGCCTCCTCTGGATTCGTCATCTCGTCCCAGAGGATGACTTCGCGAGCGGTCCTCTCTCGGGCGCAACCCGGTCGCGGGCATTACGTCCTTTCGTCGAACTTGTTAAGGTATAATCTGTATTCCTTATACCCGATCATCTCAGCGTCGTAAAGATTCATATTGGTTGACGGTTATGGGTAGCGCTCGGTCCCGCGGGAGTGATTTGCCGGGGTTCGTCGGGGTTCGCGGTCGTTAAGCCTCCTTTAACGGTCTTTCTCTCTCTCACCGGTCCTCTCGTCCAAACCGGTAGGATGCATGCAGGTGATCCCGCACTCGTGGGGGCAGCACTTAGCCAGGTCCGGGCACTTGGAGTCTCCCTCGCAGGCCACCAGGCAGGCCGCCTCGAACGCCGACATGGACCGACTCGATGGACAGTATCCCGGCTTCGTGTAATTCGCCGACAGGCAGCTCTCCATGCACTGAAACACGTCGGAAGAAAGGAATGAGGCCAGGGAACCCTGGAGGAGTCCAACAGGAGACCAAACGGCCACCAACGACAGGAGGACCAGGTACCAAAGAGAACCCAGGGTGTCGATAAGCCCCCCACAGTGGGTAGCCCTGGCTCCTCCCCAAGTTCCCTCAAACATAAAAACGACAATCAATGACAACTAAAGAACCTCTATTATAAAAATCATCGGGATACCCTAGAACAATGGATCACCGTAGCTGGACGTTCCATGCAGCCTGAACTCGAGTTCCGACCTCGTGCCAGGAAAACGTGGCAAGGAAGTTGGGGAATATCGACCGGAGGTGTCAAAAGTGACGCCATCGTGTAACTTCTGACGTCCACTTCGCGATTGGCGGAAGAAGTGGTCCTAAGTGAGGAGCGGGCTTTCTCTTTGCGTTGAATCCCACGTATACTTTTACTTGTAACGTAATTCCCATTAATCCAAAGACGTGTCCTGTTATGGTTAGCTGGAGTGCCTGGGTAACGAAGAGACCACTAGGTCACGGTACCAGGATGCAGCATCAGCTGGCCCTCTTTGAGGTTCCAACGTCCTTAATCCAGCTCCAGCCCCAGTTTCCACGTGTTGTGGCTACCCTTGGGGCCAAGCGCCGTTTTCGTCGCTATCTCGACGGTGCCTAGAAGACCCAGGTGGCTCGCTGCTCGTCCAGGAACCGCCTTAATGGTCCTTAAGCTGGTTCCCATAGTCGCTCGTCGTCGCCGGTTGCGGGTCCGGCCTTAGTCGCGGTTCCCGCGTTCCTTCGACCGGCGGCATTCGCGTCCCGGTCGGAGCGCATATATCATTCGAACGGGCGAAGAAACTGGTTCGCTTACTTATTGGCCTACTTTTTATAAGCAAAGCAGAAGCATGCGGCTACGGAGCCCGCGATTGCCGGGCCGTTGACCAGTTAATGAAGCCCGCGTTGCAAGAACCGATCATATTGTTGCCGAAATCCCGGCCGGGCCGGCCATCCCGATCAGGCCAAACGGGTTCGCAGGGGGATCCTGCGACTTTCGATCCCTCGATACGAGGGAACGAACCCGCGGGAGGGTCAGATCGGTCGAGGAGATCGGCATCACGGATCCGATTACCGAACCCTTTGTGCGAATTCGCGAGGAGAGAGTCTCTAAGGGCGCCAAGCGATGCCACGGCCACAAGGCCAAAGGCACAAGCCTTTGAGAGTCCCAAGGGAGCCGAACCCGATGGGCATGGAATAAGGGATATCGGTCCATTAGGGTCTTTCTAGGAGCCAGGACTAGTTCGGCAGAACCGTAGGATAGAACTAGAGAGAAAGGGCTTGCTCTTGTTCCGAGGGTCTTGAAGGATCAAGACCCTCGAAGATCGCGTGGCCTTTTCTTTTCAGACCTCATGGGGGCTGATTGATAAGACCTAGGGAAGTATCATTGGTCTTCAAGCTCTTTCTAGGAGCTGGAACTAGACCGGCAGAATTGTAGGATGGGATTAGAGAGAAAGGACTCGCACTCCGGTTTTTTTTTTTCCGCCAGTCTTGGAGCACGAGGACAATCGAGTGGCCTTGTGTCTTTCGGAGCAGAAGGGAGATCCAACCTGGTGGATGTGGAAGATGTATCAAGGTCTTCGAGAGTTCGATACACCCTTTACTACTTCCGGCGTAGAAGTAAATCCCTTTGCTATTCAGACACTCTTATGGCCCCTCCAGGACTAAATCGTCAATTCCGTTGGACCGAACTAGATCGATTTCTCGGCAGACCATTTAATTAGTACGAGGACACTTCTTTGTTGCAAAAGTCTCCTATTCGCGAATATTCTGCGAAGACGGTGAATAAAACTACACATCTGGAAGGCGAGATCCCAGAAGATGGAATTCCTCGGATCGGGAAAGTAAATCCCTGAAACTCGTTAATCCTGCCGCAGTGATTTATTCACCCATTCCGGAATGCAGCATTGCACAGAAATTGGGTTTTAGAACTTGTCATATGTAATGCCAATTGCGGGCATTATCGCAATGACCACGTGCATGACGACGAGCAAGTAACAATTTCGTAGATTTTAGGAAAAAATGGGAAAGGCCTTGAAGATGAAGTTTTTTGCTTTCTGAAGGACCATAACTAGTTTGGCAGGAAGAAGACCAAAATCGTACCATTCGCGGAGGATGCATCTTCGAGATATTTGTTTTTCTTCTCTGGCCCGATAATCCATCGATCCTCGTTGAAGCGTGCACGTCTGACCGTAAAAATCCTCGTAATGTCGGAAGATGTTTCCATTCCCCTTTAACTGTACCGGGATTTAAATCGCTCGATTCCCCGCTCAGATTTGCATAATATCATCCAATAATGCGGACCTTTTTTACCCTGGAACCTCTTTGTACAAGCCGGTTCCGAGGACCCCATCATATCTCTCCGGCAAGGAAGCTGCAACATCTTCGCGACTGGATCCGGTGACCTCGAGCTGAGCTCCGAGATCGATCCCTCGTTTCGACGGAGCGGCTCTAAAAAAAGATCTTTTCAGAAAACGTTCATCGAGAAAATCACCTTTAAGCGAGATCTTTTCAGAAAACGTTCCTCTAAAAGCACCCCTAAAAAGGACGTTTCAGAGAAAGTTCCCATTCCTTTCAATCGATCCGTTCCATTAATTTTTCCCGCAAAGATGCGGGAATTATCGTGCCTGATGCATCGTATCTTATCACGCGACTCTTCGAGTATGTTTCTGGATTTGGAGGAGCTTCCTGATCCCTGGATGGAACTTTCTGATTTCTGAACCAAGAAGAATCTTCCAGGACTATCGGACTAACTTCGCCCCCTAGAAAGGACCTTAAGAGGAGCCCGGTAGTATGGACCCGTGACCGATGCTGCGCCGATCAGCTCCGAGTTATTCGGCCTAAGGTCCATGAATCCATCGATTCGGTTCGATGAAGTCCGAGCGGCCGCAAAAATCCCGGTGGAAAGATCAGCCCATTCGCCTTTAACTGTAGGGCCCTGGATTGCCCGGTTACTTGTAAATATCGCTCTGCCGGGCTACCGTTTATTGGCTATTACTTCGGGAATTTATTGCCACGTGCCAGTAGAGGCCAGAGGCTAACTCGGTGTTATTTTCCTGGCCGGGGCTTTCGAAGTTGCTGCTCGACCCTGTCGGCGATGTCCAGCCCTCGTGCTCGCTAAATTCCGGATAATCGATTTCACCGTGGAAGCCCATCTTCGAGAGGCTCGAAAAAAATGAGAAAAAAATCGAGGATACCAGAACAATTGCCGGATCATCCCGCTACGGGACTAACGATCCCTAAAAGTCCTTTAATTACCCCGAACAGATATTCGGTCTCTCCTCCGCTTAAAACGGCTTATATCATTCCGTCTTTCATCCAGGGGGATGTAATCTCAAAGTCGGCACGAGTGTTCGCTGTCGGATCAGAAGCGCGACACGGGCTTCCTGGTGAGTGTCGAGTAGCTGTAGATAACGTTATTCCCTCTCTCTCGTTTTTAAGTACATCCTCTCGCGGGGACTTACCTCGTCTGGATGATTTTCGCCGCATCTTGCGTCGCATCTGGCGACCCTCATGGAGTCGTACTCTTCGACGTACCTCGTCCAGGACGCCAAGCAGCCCGGAAGTAGCAACCACCAGGGCCACCATTCTACACCGATAAGAATAAACAAAGAAGCTCTTAGATCGCGAGAGAATCGTCAAACGTCGAAGAAATTGACGGTCCACCTAGCCGCCCAATTCCCGACCGGGTGATCAACCACGTCCGAAACGCAAAGTCGACTTAGAAAAGTCGAGAGGGTTTCAACGTCGAACAAATAAGCAAACGCTCAGACCCTGGCCAATCGCCGAGTCGGGATCTTCCTTCGCCTCCTTCGACCAGGAAAGACAAGCAAACACAAGATTCCCAGCGGGATGGAAAGGCGAAATCGCTCGCGAGTCGGCGCAATGGGGTCTCCGAAGAGCCCCTCTTGGGTGATAATTCTGCCAGAAGTTCCGGACTCGTCCGGCGCCACCCGAAGCTCGGCGTGACGATCGATCGGCGAGCTTCTCCGTCCTCTTACCCGCGATAGATTTCGCGTTGCATTACTCACGCTCTCTCACCGAGCCACGTTCGGCGCGAAACTCGATACGCCGAGTCGAAACACGTGCTGTTTATACCTACCACTCGTTAAAACCTGACGCGACGTCTCTTTCTCTCTCGGAACTCCTCGGAACCGCGTTGCCCATTCGCCCCGTGCGTGACTTTTTCCCGGCAAGTCTTTGTTTCGACGATCCCGCGCGATTACTTGGCCGGACCACACCTTCCCGGCGATCTCATCTCGAATTACCGATCGCCACCCGAGCGAGGAACGGAAACCCGGAGCCCGACCGTCCTTTTTCGCGCCTCCCGGACCCGATGCCTCGAGCATCGACGGGGAGAGAGAAAGAAGGAACGACGCTCGATACGTTTCTCTCGCGGCTAGATACCCGAGAAACCATCCTTCGACCCTTCTTGCGACGATTCCACCTCGCGATTCCCCCACGACGTGGCGAGCGAGGACTATGCGTTTTGGGCTGGACGTTCGACCCCGATCAAAGGAAATCCTTTTTCTTGGCTCGTCTAGTTCCTGGATCCAGGGGTCCAGGATTTTACAGAGAGAAAGAGAGAGAGAGAAAGAGAAAGAGAGAGAGGGTTGGAAGAGTTAAGTCCCTCCTTCGCAATGCCTGGGAACACCGGAAACACCGGAAACTAGGTGTTCGTCCGTGGTTCCTAGGGACCAGCATCCCTTCCCTGAGTACCATCAGCACTAGGCACTTCTTGCACTTTCCCATCCAAGTTTGCCTATCTGGTGGGTCCCAGGTAGAGGGAGAAAGGGGGAAATCTCGAAACTCAACACCTCCACCCCCCTGCAGGCTGTCATTGTCCGAAATACTCCGGGAACCACCACGAACCGTTCATGCGTGCACTTGCTCGGATGCTCCTTCTGCCTCGAACGACCCGTCGTATCGATTTCTCGTTGGATCGTTAATTGGCTCGAATTCTGCGGTTTCAGGACGATCGGTGTTCGACGAGTAGACCTACGTACTTTTGACGGAGCCCGGAGGCTGGTAGCCGGTGGTGGTGGAGGCGCACGGGGTGTGTAGCAGCGACAACCCCCAGATTAGAAACATGAGCGGCACTTTTGTTAATGGTTAATGCAATAAGTGACTTTAGGTGGCTAGGTGCGGCCCAGGGCGGCTCGTTAATCCCGATGAGAGTCGAGTCGATCGATCGGTCGACCGGCTCGCGGTAGGCAAGCACCTATGGAGGTGAGCGTTCAAACTGGGATCGGGCTCACTTTCCTGAGCAGCCGATCCTCGCCTGGTTGCCCCAGCACTTCTCCTACTCCGAGCCCACACCATTCGTTTCCACCACCAGGCTGCTACCCGTTGCAATGACCGAATCATTAACATCAGGAAGGGTCGAGCCACCGGGAAAGGAGTCACCTGACCGGGAACTCGCCGACTCTTGCCCGCTCGCCCTCCTGCGTGCCCGAATGCGTTTCTTTGACCTCCCTCTAACGATCTCTCCCCGGCGACGTAAAATCCCCCCGACCCTCCGTTTCTCGAAATATTTTCCTAACCCGAGACCTTTTATCGCAGGGTCTCCATTTCCGTCCAATGACCTTCCTCCCCACCTTCCCATGGCAGGGATCAAAGAGTCATGCCACCAAAAGCCAAAACTAGGTGCACTCCTTACATTTCCGCGGAAGAATCTCACGTCCCTCTATGTACCATCATTAAAATTTACATCTGATCTAGGAACCAAGGATCAGCCAAGATTGCTAGTATATCCCCCGTATATTAATTTCTAGAGATTTAGAAAAATATCCCGTGTTTGTGACCACCGTCCAAAACGCCACTTTTTTGGGAGGAAGGTGAACGTACTCAGAATTCCTGCCAATTGCGCGCAAGTAGGAGGCACTGTCGTTTACCCGAACATCGTCGATTGATCTTTCGGTCCGTCCCCATGATGTAGTAAAAAACGGCGGAGCTACTTAAGATTTTATTTCTAGTTCCCATGCAATCTCGATTAAATGACGCACGCGGGCCATCTATTAAAGGGGGCCCAGGCCCAGAAGTGACATTGAAGAATCGTCCCCGGTACGTCGTGGGAGGCACTGGTTCGGATCGTAGGTACGCTAAGGGCTAAAAAGTGCATTCGCCGGTCCTCGCCGAGTCCGCTCGAAAATCTCTCGACACCACAAAGGGGCGCTGCAACGAAACGCTCCCTTCCCTCTCGTAATAAACGACTTCGAGGAACGGTCGTGGCGTTGACCTGAATCTATTAGGGCTTCGGTTTGGCGGCATTATAACTGCCCGTGAATCAATCCCTTACTTAGCAACATTCCTGGCCACACGAAACACACGCTCATTATGCGAGCCACACCGGCACGGCACGGGAGGCACACGAAAGTGCCGGTCCAGCATCCCATTTAGCGGCGGCCTTAAGGCCCCAATTCACACAATGTAGCCGGTCCTTCTCTCCGTTTCTTTTTCCCCTCGTATTCGGACCTCGTTATTCCACTTATCCGGCACGTCGTTATCGCTCCTCGTTTTTTACCCCGTTCGCCTCTTATCCGGCCGAAGAATCGCCGGTGTTGTTCGCCGCCATCTGTGTCTGCCGATTTGTCTCGATGGCGAGGTCTCTTGACACGCGGAAACGCTGATGGAGACCTCGCCAGGAGACTTTTCATCTCTTCTTAATTCGTTGGTCTAGATACTCTTCCTGCTTCTTCTTTCCCCGATGGTCTCGGGCTTGTCCGAAGTGATCCCGGCGATTCGCCTCAATGACTGAAATATCTGAAAAGAGAGAAACATTTGGCGCCATTTCGTGCTCGATGTGGACTCGATGTGAATGCTTGGGCAAGATGGGATACTCGGAGTGCAAGGATGCTGCGTTGTTTGATTATCGTTTCCTTCGTACTGATAGGGCTAATGGATCTAGGCGATTTGTCGCGATCGTCGCTGGGCTTTACGAAATCTCCTGGGGGGTTGTTAATGATTTACCGTACCTGATCCTTGTACTTGTTAGTCCAATCGACGTTGCGTTCGACTTGATGGATCACTCGGTCGAGTGACTCGTCTTGTACTGCGCGTAATCGTTTAAGACGTACAAACTGGAAGAAGACGTCGGGCCGGTTACTTTGTGCCAACAATATTCCATCTCGGGCTCTTTTTGCTGGGTCTTTCTTTTTTCTCGATTTTCTTTCCTTTTTTTCCCCCCTTTTTTTCTTACCGCTGCCAACTTATTCGACCGCCGTTCCACCGGTTGGCGCGACATCAAACGAGACCTAACGCGAATATTAATTTGCACGAATTTACATACCCAGTTTAGGCTTTCTTTTGTACTCCAGGCTGAAGCGACTGCTTGCAATGTATTATACGAGTTAACCCTGGAAGTTACAAGTGTTGTTCAATTTCTGACGCCACCGGAACACGTGTGCGAGAGAAAATGATTACTTTCGAGAGATGACTTACGATGACAAGATCTCTTCCAAGTGGCCCTCCAAAAAGTCTTTTGCAACCTCCAGGCCGTTTTGATTACTTGCAATTGACGATAGCACGGGAATTAGATATGATTTGTATTCCTGAAATACCATTTGCAGGAAGCTGCAAAGGTTAAAAGAAATATGACGTGCGTAAATATAACTAGTACTTTGGAATTGAACGAAATTTTAGGATGTCTTGTTAATATTTCAAGGACCCTGCAGGATTCTGTTAATGAAGGTGTTACGAGATACTTAAAATTTATGACTCGTGGACTAGAGTCGGTCAATGGATAAATAATTTAGGCAGACCACCATGAAACTTAGGGGCCATCCGACGTCACGAGAAATGGTCCACGTATGTAAAAAGGCCGAAACGTAAAAAAGAAATGACCGAATCCTTACTTCGTTTAATTGCTTGTCAGCCAGAGCTCTATTTCATTTATCCTATGACAGGGCGCGAAAGGGGTTTCAGATTTTGGTCTGCTCCTTTTACCACGAGGGACCCAAAAAGGACTAGTTTTGCCAGCCCCGAAGGCTCTATCACGGCAACATCGATATCCTAGTGGACAGATAACTGCACCATTGCTATTTTAATGAATTAATTAACACGGTCTACGAGCGACCTTGCATCGCTCGATTCGTTTTCTCAGATTGCTCTTCTTCGTTGAGATAACGAACGAGGCATAAAAAGCATACACGTTCATATTAATATTAATTTCTCTTGATCATGTAAACTTCCTTGCATTTAATATTTCGTTACCTGAGCAGGTGTCGTGTTAAGAATTGCATGTACACGGTAACAGGTGAACTTGAAACCATTTTCGGTACCTTTTCAAAATGGTGGCATTGCGATGGCATCCCAAGGCGAAAGCAATTGTACCTGCTTCCGAATAAAGAGTTGACTGTTTGTCACGTTGCTCTTTAAATATATCGAGCAGCATTTGCCACTCGGAATTATCAGCGGTTTTCGCGAAGGGGCAAAGTGCCCACGACCGAAGCAGAAGAGGCACTCTAAAATGACATTTCCATTTTTTTAATCATCCTTTCATTTGGTGCAAGTAGCTTCCCACAAAAGCTTCTTGAACTTCGGTTCAAGAACATTCCGTGTGTACCTAGCCCGAAATTATTCCTCTACAATTACGTACCTGTTTGAGGGTTCCTCGTGCAACCACTGTAGGACAACTTCGCGAGCTTTGCGCACACAAGCTCTGTGATTCATCGAACATGACAGCGTCAACATATCGTCGCGAAATTGCGTTTGCAAATCTTGCTGACGAGATTCCGGGATATCCGCGACAACCTCGTACACTTTGCCCAGTAATTTGCACATCGCGTGCTGCAACAAACGTCGTCGACCTACGTTAACATCGTTCATACGCGTAGATCACTCTTTGGCTGTATTAATTATTCTGATCTAATAAATCTAGATTATTAAAAATCTTGTTTAATTTCGACCAACGTGAAGCAGGGTACACGTGGTCGATTAATTACTCGTCTCGAAAGCCGAGTTACCGCTTCTACGAGTGTACCTTAAATAAAGTCACGCCCTGCAATTTTTCTTCGATAGGCTTCAAAATCTTCACCGCGATTCTCCATACTATCCGGTCGGTTTCGTGTTCCAATTTCCCTAGGATGCTCCAGAAAATTGTGTAATTTAACACGTTCGCTTCGGCGAGCTCTGTAGCATCGCTCAGTAATTTTGCTCTCGACACCGGTGATAATTCTCCGAAGGAGTTTGTCAGGAGATTCCAATTTCCGTCATCGTAGTTAACACGGTAGAGTCCTAAAGATATTTTACAATTATTATAATTTATACATTCGGGTGAAATCATCCAAGCACCGGCTTTTACCAGCTCGATTGATGTTGAAAAAAATCCACTGGTTTCCTAAAACCGCTCGATTAAGATCAGGGTCATTAAGTTCCATGGTTCTGCCTGATAACCAACATTTAGCAGTGGTGTCATGAAAATTCGAGCTGTTTCCTGTCGTCCACGTCAACGGAATAATCCACAACGAGGGGTCGTCTTTTAATCCATTTTTGAAAAATCGCCTCTGTAGAAGAAATTGCGCATAATTGCGGAGACGCGACTTCGTCAGAGGGGACTTTGTCATACCTGTGATAACAGAACGGTGCCTGTAGTACGATCTCTTTTGACTTCGACCAGCGGAAATCCGGGCTGATCCGTCCAGGTGATCATGATCTCCTTCATGGCGAGATCTTTTGGAAGGGAATTTCGTAAATTGATTTCCTCCTGAAACGTCTCCCAGAGATCGAATTGGTCGGCGCTTCTATAGCTGTAGGTTCTCAGATATCGTCGTATCGCGGAAAGAAATGTTGCCTTCCCGAGGAAATGGTAAATCATGTTCGTGAGGCAATTCCCCTTCAAGTAGGAGGTTTTATCGAAAATATTCGTAATCTGGTTGGTCGTGTTCAGAGTTATGTGTAATGGATGGGAAATTGCGCTCGCATCGTATGTGAGCATCTCGTGGCACTCGTAACAGTACCATTCATCCTTCGTCCAATTACGATTTAACTGTATTATGCAAAAGAAAGGTAATAAGTAATTTCAGAACGAACGTAGACATAGAAATGCCTTAAACATTGATATGCATTTTATAGTAATCCATAGGCGACTTATTTCGCAATTGTCAAAATTAATCCATCAAGATAAATCCACGAAACTCAGACCTTCCATTATTGCGTTAATCCGGTAATCTTTTAAAAGGCGACGATTTATTACTCACTGCATTTACTGTCACGTATGCCAGGAAAGAAGCAAAGCCTTCTTTCAGCCAAACGTCGGACCACCATTTTGGCGTGACCAAATTTCCAAACCATTGATGAGCTACTTCGTGGGCAACTATATAAGCCGAAATCATTTTCGGTTCGGCCACTGACGTTTCATCGTTCAAGAGAACGAAATCCTCCCTACGTGAATACATAATAAATGAATGACAGTATTTTTATTTTTTTTTTAATATTATACGACACTTAAATCCAAACATTTTTCAATACCGATTTAAAAGGTCTGCCGAAGAAGCGAGCTTTTAATAGTTCATTACTGAAACATGACACAAGTATATCTTTTACTTATCTACCGAAATGTGATTAAGCCCCAATTTTCCATTGCAGAGTAAGATAGTTGGGGAACGAAAATTACATCTAACTTGTCCAACTCATAGTAGAACCCGGTAAGATTTTGCATGAGTCGCAGGAGTTTTGGAATAATGGATGCCACGTATGCAGTGCTTTGTTGCACCTCTTTTCTAGAGTAAATCGTATGACTTGGCCGATCCATAGTGGTGATGGAATAACCGGAAAAGTCGGTAACCATCAGTGCCACTAAATAAGTTGGCATCGGTACTGTCTTTTTATAGCGGTCCCATACGTAGCCAGACATTCCATATCTAAAACGTTAATATCATAAATAGTACCACTCTTCACGAAGTACATACTTTTGTCAGCTTAGCTGTAAATGGAGCCTCTAATGTAATTGAATTTTTTTATAAACTATTCACACTAACACCTCCTCTACGATAAGGCGTTCCGCATTAGAGTGCGATCGCATGTTGAACTTCCGCCCAATGGAAATTCTGAATGGCGTTTTAATCCAGGGTTCATCAAAACAGGGAAATGCTCTCCTGGCGAAAATTGGGGAGAAATTTGACACGGTTATCCACCTGAAGAAAAAAGTGATTTCGAATATAACAGGTTAATAAAACATTAATTTTCGCACTTAATAGAAATATTTTTAATGAGCACCTGGTTTCATTGGTTCGATCATCCTTGTAATTACTTCTAAAGAGTCCTTCGGGGCTGCTTGATAAATCCCCATAGAAGTGGATACGAAGCAAGTAGGTTTCACTTGGGAGTAAGATTTCCCTTGAAACTATGTCGATAAAATCTTCCCCGCTGGGGAAGAATCGATTAATTAAATTGAAGCTTTTCGACGTATAATATTCCTTGAGACTGATATTTCTCAAATCCAAGCCGTGCGAGTGGAGGCGAAAATGTCTCGTCGGGATTTTACATGACAAATGGATTTGCACATCCCCGATCGTCGTGAAATTCCCTTCTTCCATAATTGGCAAGATATTCAAGCTATAATAATTTCGAAATTATATTTTTTTCTCGAGAATTAGACCCTGCAGCTTGTCAAAAAAAAAAAACATCAGGTCTGATAATTACGCAACTTACGTATATTCTAAAGGAACGATATCGGTGCTCAGTTTTTCGTAAGCCTCGTTAAATCGTCCCTTGTCAAATTCCGCCGATAGTCGTTCCATCGATTTTTTGTTATAGTTTTCCAAGATAGATTTGACAAACCAGTAAGCAATAAGGGATGCGATTACTAAACAAGCGACAGTCATGACGACAACTCTGGGTCTGATTCTCCAACAAGAACTTTGTTCTTCGATCCCATGGCGTCGAGAATAAGCCTGTTCGGTCACTTCGGCCAACCCTGTGATAATTACTTATCTCTACATTTTTATATCTCACCTCGAAAACTCGGAGTTGGAAATCGGAATTCTCTTAATACCACCGAAAGAAATTTTAATATACGATTTCGACAGGACGGTTGTGGATAGAGTTACCTGTGCGTACGCTGCGGTTGGACATCTCCCGATTGCCCCCTGATTTAACTAATTGATTTAATTAATAGTCCCGACGAGCACAGGATGTCTTCGGCGCGTTTTAAGAACGACTGGAACCCTCCGCCTTGATGCGATCGTAAAACGTATTCGACACGAAACGATAACCAAAAATATCCGACCACTTGTAGTCCGCAGATCATTCTCGAGTGGCCCTCGTGTTTGGCATTTATTATAAATGCACAGCTCAGGGGAGATCAGGGGAGGCAATGTCGGATATGTCTCGGTATCTCTTTCAATTTAATAGATTCATCCTGGAGGGAGAAATTGTACCCCATCCAAGAGATACCGTCTATTTCCGGGTACTCTGTGATCGTTGTCACGTGGAAATGCGGATCCGCCGCAATTGACGGCTGAAGTAGGGCATAAATAAAAAAAAAGAACAGAAAAAAGAAATTCAAACTAAATATAAAGTTCGCCTCCAGCCAGTGTTCTCTGGACGGCCGAGAACAAGATGTAACGATGCCTCTTATTTCCCAGTTTGAAGGAAGTTTCCGAAGAATTACAATTTCTTGGGGGTGGATTGTCTGTATTTCTAGTGATATGTCATTTTTGGAAATAATTTCACGGTCCTGGAATGGACGAACCGAGGTGGGTCATCGAGCTCGGCGGAAAGTGGAGAACGCGGGAAAGAGTGGGCGTCACAGGAAGGGAAGTTTCAGGGAGCATTTCCCAAGGAAAAGCCGCGAAAAAGGAGGGCTTGGAAAGTTATTTCGTCCAGACAGCCTGGCACCATCTCGGGCTGTCGAATTTCGTGGCGGGAATTCCGTTTCCTGCCGAGAAGACGGAGCGATGGCGAGGGGTGTTTGCACGTACGAGGAGGGTGCAAATGGGACGGAGAGGGAAACTAAACAGCACGCGTGATTAATAGGGGAATACGAGCCCCGAGAGGAGGCCCTGCCCCCTTTGGAACGTGCAACTTGACAACCACCCACCCCGCCATGAGCCGAGCTGTTTTCTTAGCTGGCCTCCCTTTCTTTATCCCTCTCTGCGTTTCTTACAAAACTTCGGATTAACTTATGACTTTATCGACGCAGTGATGGCTACGGCTCGATGAAAACACTTTCCGTTGACTTCATAAAATTTCCAGTTTTTTAATGTCTCGGTTAAATCCATCCTGTTGCTAATAGAGAAATTACAGCACAAAGAGGAGAATCTACCCCTTTCGAATGGGTAATTTAACAATCACCCCTCTCTGAGTTTCTTACAAAACTTTGGATTAACTTATGACTTTATCGACGCAGTGATAGCTACGGCTCGATAAAATCACTTTCCGTCGACTGTATAAAATGACCAATTTTTTAACGACTGGATTAAATCTATCCATTTGTATTACTCATTGAGTTTGCAACTCGACAACCCTCCACTTCGTTAAGAACCTCGTTATCTTCCTGGCTGTCCTTTCTATTCCACGGCATTTTTTTCCCGAAAATTCTGAGTAACTTTGGACTTTTTCGATACAGTGACCGACTCGATAAAAGTGCTTCCCGTCGTTTCATGCCAATTTTTGAGTGACTCGCTTCACTCGGCACTTTCATATTAATCGTTGTCTGTTTGGACGTGGTCCCGGTGAATCCACCCAGAAGTAGGGAGGTAATGTATGGCCTAACGTCGGCCTAGGGGAAAAGTCGATCCCTCAAATTTGGAAAGTGGCCCCACGGAAGTCCGGTGGTTTTCGCATCGATGGGGGGTCCCACACGCGCGACCCTCCTAATGCGTCCTGTCCCAAAATCCGCACCGCACTCGGAAGTTACTCTCAGATTACAGCGGGGACAGTCCTTCAGGAATTTGGTCGGCGCTTTTGAAAAATCGACCTCCGGCTCTGCGAGCACCGGGATAACCGATACGTCCGTCCATTCACTAAGGTGCACCTCTTTCAGGCATTCTTTTTGCGGCTCCCGGCCGCTTTGAAGGCGTGTGATTAATGGGGCCCCATCGATTTTGGGTTGACCTTAAACTACTACACTGCATCGGTCTTGCCTCCCGATATCGCGAATATCAAGCCAAAAAATCGATCACCATCGAAAGATTGACGGAGAGAAATCGGGCCTATCCATCCCTCGATTGATATTGAAATTCGCAGCGTTCTTTCCTTTTATTATAAAAAAGAAAAATACAAGATAGGAGGGAAAATCATTCTCGATTCGACGTAAGTTTGCTCTAGCTATCAAATCGTGTTTCCACTGATATAAAAAAAAAATGGGAATTTAAAAATTGCACATAAATTGTATGATCTCATTGAATGCTAGACCGAGTTTCTTTAGGCAATCTAAGTGGAGTTGCACGATGTGTCGCCCGTTAAATAATTCTCGCTTTAAGTTCCAGAATTTCCTGAATTTTTCGGACCAGCCATTTTTGTGGGGGGAAAATTCGGGGCCCGCCTCCTTGGCTGTAATTGGTGATGTTTCTTCCTAAGTCAAGTCAAAAGAGATGGCTCTATTGGCTGAAAAAGAATTCCAGCTTGGTCAGAAGACTTCAGCATGTTCTCGGTGCCCTACTCCTCCTCTTCTCACCCACCCTATCGTCTCTTCCCCTTGGCTTTACTTACGTCTTACATACTGACCTCACATGTGCTCGTTTGACACTTCTCCGTTAGTGCCGGGAGATATAGCACGGCAGTTATTTCATCTCGATCGATTTTTCACCGCGTATGATCAATTTTGGCGATTGCGCGTCGCGGTGAAAAGTGTTTCCGGGCCGTAAATCTCGTGAGTTCAAAGAGCACCACGATTAGACTTTTTATTCCCTTTGTCCTCCCTTCGAATGCCGTTCGTCACATATAGTTCAACGAAACAGTGATTTTGTCACGTTCGAAAAACGGTGAGCATGGTTTAATAAAATGTAATAAAAGAACATGATTAATTTTTCAATCTAACAAATTAATTCGTACACGAAAGAGTAGATGACATTTCGTTCCAAGGAAAGCGAAAGTTTGTCTAAAATCTCGAAGCTGAGAATTTAGCGACAACTGATTCAACGTTTATATTGAAATTAGTAATATTACGTAGTGCTTGGTTTAACTGAGCATGGTTTAATAAAATGAAACAAAAACCCGATTAATTTTTTAATCTAACAAATTGATTTGTACACGAAAGAGTAGGTGACACCTTGTTTCAGGGGAAGCGAGAATGTCTGAAATCTCGTTGCGAAAGGTACAGAGATTAGCGACAATTGATTTGACGTTCATATTGAAATTAGTAACATTATATAGTGTTAGTTATAGATATTACTGGATGATATGGAGAGGCAGTTTGGATCTTCAACAGGGCTGTGATTTTTTGTGCAGACATGGATTCCTGGCAGGGGCACAATTCGTCAAGACAAAGGTGGTCGGAAGAGACGTTTGCATTGCCACCGACACCTCCGACCCCACCTGCCGCCACCATGGACATGCAAAACGGCAGATTCGGCCAGAATTGCGAAACGACGTGGAATTATCGATGGCCCTGGGACGTATCGTCAGAAATCGGTGCAGTTTCCGAAAGCAATTCGCCCCTCGAAATAGGTCAGCAGTTGGTATCCCAGTGCACGAGCAATTCCATTGACAGTGCGGACGCGAATCAGAATTACCACCTCTGCAGGTAATACCGAAGCACCCGTGGCTATCATTAATGAAATTCAATGATCAATCTCCAGAGAGGGAGAGAGATTTTCTCCGGGTCTCCCGGAGCGCAGCAATTTCTCTGGGAATTTGCATACGAAGACGACATACCGCATACAAACTGCACGCACGTGCATTAAAGGGTAGAGCTGGCTTATCGGAAAATCACCTCTCGACCGGTGGATATTGAATTTGCATTAATTGTAATCGTTATGGGAGCTCTTTTCATGGCGGGGTGTGCATCCTCCCTGTCGATCCCGAGTGATAAGATCGTATGAAAATTGCCTTTGATGAGTGAAATTCGAGCGGTGCATAATCCCCTCGGAGTATTCTTCGCGGGCTTATCCTTTTTTCTCTCCGCTCGCTCATTCCCCTTTTGCATCCTCGCTCGTTTATTTCCTCCCGCTTTCTCAGATATTATTATCCTTTATCTTAGATGGCAACAGTTACCTCAATGTGGGCCATTTCCGGGTAATCTGCCTCTGGATTTCAAAGATGACGCGGAGTCTATCTCGAAGGACTCGTCGCAGGATCTTCCCTTGCAGAAAGAACGCGGAAACAACCCGAGTGCCGTTTTTCGGGCTTGGGAAATCCCTTATCCACAAAGTACCGGCGTGGATTCCAAAATAGAAATCAAGTTCGAGAGCAGCCAACGATCTCAGGATCGTTTCGAGTACCCGAGCTGCGTAAAGAGAGGGAGCTCGAACGAGGGCCGCTCAGAGTCAGAAATTGGTAAGCTGCATTTCCGGAAATAATGAAAAATTTCAAGGCCAATGCATAGATGAATTTCGAGCGGCATTCTTTCTCTGGATCCTTCAACGAGCAAAGTAACAATCGACAGGGAACGTTTCTCTAAAATGCCACATAACTCGCCGACAGGGCAGGGATAAAACGCTTACTGGAAACTGCACGTAACTGCATCGAATAAGGATGCATCCATGTATGCAAGTTGTCCCATGAGCAGGCGGTGAGCTTTGTTGATAATTCCCAAGTTAATGACTTTACTGTCGCCAATGCGGCTATACCAGACCCCCTGCAGTCTAAATATTTGTCTAACAATCCAACTATCGTTGATTGTTCCCTGATACTTCACGTGCTGTCGTTGCGTAAGAAGCATGCCCAAGTAGATTTAATTTGACATTTCAACATTTTCACTCTTCCATTCAATGTCAATTAAGATAGAACATTAGATATTTATTTCAAATATAATTCTTTTATATCCTCTTGGGAAATATTTAGACAATTTTTTTTTTAACTCGCACGTGTAGTCGTGGAATAAAGTTTCTGTTTTTTCATCGTTCCACGTGCCTTGTCAAAATCTGAGTCAGAGAGAAAACAAGTACCGGCAAGAAGGGCACGTGGTCGAGACTTCTACATCTGCTATATATTCGGCTAGAAATTACGCAATAGGAGAAGGAAAGGAAAACGTAATAAATCTCGTTAACTAAACACGAAAACCGCCATTCGTTACGTAATTGAAAATAAAATTTGACACGAACATTGACCGGGCATATATGTATATGGAATGCACATATGTCGAGACAAATCTTGAGTGTGGTAGACGGCTGGTAGCGCGTGCGAGAACGTCATCGTGTTACGCATAAAATATGCAGCTATTTTCATCTAACCGAGCAAAAAGTCGGAGATCTCGCAAAAGTTACCGTCTCGCGGCAAGATCTCCCTTAAGATCATTCCGAGAAAGTAGTACGCAACCTGCGATTACATCTCTACGGAGTCTAGTTTCCTTTACTGAAACACCGACTGTTTCCTACATTTCTATTTATTCTTTTTTAGCGACACGTGTTTAGTAATGCCTCCTGCTTGTGAATACTAAACACCGCGCTAAGAGAATATTTACACAATGTCTGTATACTTAATGGAATAAAATAATGATATCTCTTTCGCGATCACGTAGGGCAAATATTATACTCTACGCATTAATTCCATGACGCCGAATTTATGATAAATGGATATTACATCGTGGAAATATTTCCAAGTCATTTCTTTTCTTTTGCTTTAGATTTGCCGAAGAGAACGGGAAATGGGAGTAGCGAGAAACCTCGTAAAGAAAGAACTGCATTCACGAAGCAGCAGGTTCGCCATTTAGAATGCGAATTCACGCACAGTAATTACCTCACTCGACTTCGTCGTTACGAAATAGCTGTCGCATTGAATTTAACCGAACGACAGGTAAATTGTTTTACATGTAGGAAATATATGTAGGTCTTTTAAGATTTTAATCATCGCTTGATTTGATTCTAGGTAAAGGTATGGTTCCAAAACAGGCGCATGAAGTGGAAGAGGACGAAAAGCGTTCTTCTGAATGCACACGGAAGAGCTCATTGCAATAGTTAAGTTCGGATTAGAACAGAGAACAATTGTAAATAATGACCGTACTTTAAGTAACATTCAGTATTTTTATAAACGTGCTAATCCTAGGTAAATCTTAATAGCACGTTCACTGATTAATGTCAAATGTTGATTTCAATATGTAAATTAAACATATATAGAAAAAGATACGAGTAATTGTATTAAGTGCAATGTAATTATAATGAAGAGCCTTAAGTAATGAGTATGTTTCGCTGAAACGGCTTTATCTTAAGGAGAAGTAAAGGAAGTATTTTTAGACCTTATTAGTAATTTATTATTTGTCTGGTGTGGATGAAAATTTCAACTTAAGATTAATTCCCCGCGATTTTAGTTTCTTCTCGATTGTGGAAAGTCTCTTAAGAGACCTTTTCATCGTCTTTGCGTGACGGTTCTTATCAATTTTTGAATTTGCTAAGTCAAATTCATTCTTCCGATTTAAGAGTTTAGGACAATCGGTCTCGCTCCAATTCATTCTTCGAAAGTGTCCTCTGTGTTGCTTTTCAGGTGGAATGTATTCCGCTGAAAATGTAATAAGAATTTACAAAAGCTACTTAAGAGGATGACATAGAAACTTAACTTTCATCCGTTAAGATTTACTTAATAAATTTGCTTTAAATACTTGTACGAACCTTTCATAAGCCTTCCATGCATCAAATAATTATTCATAGTTTCCGCAGCTATCTTGGCCACTTCGGCATTAATAAATTCAACATAGCCATAACCCCGACTCTTTCCTGTCTATTAAAATAAGATTTCATGAATTGAAATGTATTTACATTCTCATATCGATATCTCAGCAGATGCATACCTTTTTTGATCTAGAGACTCGAACCCGTATAACGTCTCCAAATTGTTTAAAGTAGTCGGCCATCTGATCTTCGTAGAAACCATGCGGAATATGTCCAAGATAGATAAGACCTTTGCCGGTTGCTTTGAACGTAGGTTTTCTTTGAGCTACTAGTGGTTTGATAAATTTTCCTTTCCCTTTCGCTTTGAGGTTCACATTACTCTCTTTCACTAGGTTTATCTTACTTTCTGTCACCAAATTTACTTCACTTTCTTTCGCTTGGTTTGCTTTACTTTCTGCCTCTTTTTTCTAAACGTATGAAATTTAAAGATGTTATAAATTACAGGTAATCGCTCGATGTAAAAGTGATATATCCGTTCTCTAAATTAACGTATATTAAACTATCAATAATAAGAACGATATAAACATTCGAAAGTTACTTTACGAGATAGAACTAACCTTCAATATTTCCGTGACATTTTTCACCGCTTTGTTTAGCGCCGATTCTTGCGTCGAGTCCCTTTTCCTTATTTTCATCTTGGAAGGTTAAAACATATAAAACCAGAACACTTTTAACAACGTAGTTTTTCCTAACCTCCAAATATTTCAATCACGTCCAAGCGTGGCTTTTGCGATCTCCAAACGCCGTGAAGATTTCAATGCCGAGCACAGTGTAGCCACCAGTTAAAAACGCAATTCCCTATTTTTGTTTGATTCTCTGTTAGCATTCTGGTACCTCTACTTCCTTCTTCTGGCGGGACAATTCAATTTCAATAGAAACGATCCAAAGTACATGCTAGTGAGCAAATTAAACCGACGTGACTTCAAAATATTAAATTACACAATTAAATTACAAGGAAATAAACGAAATGCAGGGAAAAATAGTAAGTGATCGAAGGAAAGAAAATTGTACTTGTTTATCCACAAATTGTTAATCTTCCGAGTATTTTTATTTCATGAAATCCGTGCTACCAGACATTGAAAATTTACGAGGGACAATGGCAACCTTTCAACCAGACAATATAATTCAGATGAGTTGTTCAGAACATGGACGTGCCATTAATTTAAATTATTTTCTGCCAACAACGGGTGAAACCGGTCGGAAAGAGAGAAAGCCTGGCGATACCGAATCAGCTGATGTTTCACGTCGAAGAAGGGCTGAGACTTGAACCGGCTTGAGAAATTGCACTTAGGCTTACGTAGGTGTGAAATATGGCTCGTTGGAGAAACTTTGTACCGAAAATTTCGCCTTTGAAATTCATTCCACTTCGCCTTTACGATATACATATAAAAGCGCTGCGGTTTAAAAGATTTTTCATGAAAAAATTTCGTTTCTGGGATTTTTAAGGCTTGTCGATTTCTTATTTCGGTCATATGACGTCAAGAGTCGAAGAGAATTCTTGGTACATAATTAACCAAAATGATTTACAGGTAGATAGGATGAATCGGAAGAAAAGAAAGGGGGAGTCTGAAGTCAAATGTAACACACGGCAATTCTGACAAACGTTATCATTTTTATTAAACTTAGGAAAGCGTGCCGAGGCAGTGAAAGCTCTCCGTTAGCATTATGAATATCTCACAATAAGTTCATGTTTATTGGACCAAGTGTATTTTTTCGTCGAAACAAAACGTAAAAATTGCTACAATATATTAGGTAAAATTGTTACAATATATAGGTTGCGAAATAAGTTCCCGCTGTTTTTAACGTAACGTAACGTAATTAAAACAGCAGGAGCTTATTCTTCACCGTAATAAAAACAAAACGTAAAAATTATTACAATTGATCTTAGTCTTCCTTACATCGTTATCCCATCAGCTGACATTTCACGTCCACGAGGGGTTGTGAAATAAGTCCCCGCCGTTTTTAACGTAACGTAACGTAATTAAAACGGCAGGAGCTTATTCTTCACCGTAATAAAAACAAAACGTAAAAATGGTTACAATTGATCTTGGTTTTCCTTACGTCGTTATCCCATCAGCTGACATTTCACGTCCACGAGGGGTTGCGACTTGGACCGGGGTGAGGACTTGCGCACGCATCGTTGAATGAATGCGCTTTTGAACCTCAGTACCGCCAGTGGTGTACTTGGAAACGGTGGCGTGAATGCTCTCCTCAGAGCCCTTAGCATTCCAATTCCCACGGGCAATTAGGATTAGTCGCGAATTTCCCCGAACGAGTCCCGGGTCCTCGTGTGCGAGAGGAAGCTTTTCGCCGAATTAATCCGCGCAATGTATCTCAATTAGACGCAAACGAGGGGCGGAAATTAGGACTCACCTCTGCGATCAAAGAAATTAAAATGATCCGCCCTCTGCGCCTGAAAAGTGCACGGATCGTTTTCGGGGATCGATGTGACGTGATCGAAAAAAAACCAATAATTCGAGGGAAAACAATCAACGCCTGATAGCTTCGGGCGCTGCATCCAGTCGAGACGAGTGGAGGCAAAATGTCAAGTGACATTTATTCCTTTTGACTCTCCTAAGCGGATTCGTTAGAAGACTTATCTCGTTCCAAGATTTACGGACGAAAAATGGCCCGTGACATTTGTTCGTTAAGGGATTCATGAGCGAATGTACCGAGCCTTTTCATCGGATTTATTGTCATCTCGTCGCAAACTTCATGAATCGAGTAGACGCGATGACTTATTTAGTTTTGAGGATAAAGGGGGTGATAAGAGCACCCTGACCTTGTGCTTTTAACGCGCGCTTCCGAATTAATCGAATCGGGTAAATCGAGGGGTCGAAGATGAGCAGGTGACATTGGAATGTAATCTCGACACGGAAGGCAAACTTCACAGGGAATTGGATTCCTCCGATATTGGATGAGAAATTGATAATCCGTGAAATTTGGACGGTGCATCAAGTCCTGCTGGAAATATGATTAGCATAGAGTCGTCGGTTTTGTACAACTGTAGTGCAATGGTACTTCAGCAGAACATCTCCTTGCTACTGGAGCTGAACAGAAGCGAGTTGGAGAATTTTTTAGAAGAAGCTTTCATCAAGTCCACGAAAAGGGAAGTGCTTAGAGACGGGTTCGCCGAATGTTTGCAACTGGAGCAACAAAGACCATTTCATTTACCCTGGTGGCAAAAGTTGTCCTGGACGTTGATCTTCGCGGTGATCCTCTTCGTGGCGACCACAGGGAACGCGATAGTCATCTGGATCGTCTTAGGTAAACGCTGGTACCTTTTTTTTTTTATTATTAATTTTAACAAAAAAGTTATCCATGACAAGTGGTTTTCCCTTTTACTTCCTTGTTAAAAACAGAGAGCCATGTAACTACGTTATTAAATAGCCTAATCGTACATCGTCACTGTTCTAGTACAACGATTTTTATCGAAATCCGATTACGGTACTGTATAGAGAGACTGCACCAGGGAGTACTCGATATTCATTGAAACGAGAGAACAATATGGACCACCAGTTATCCCATTTCACGAATCTATGAATTATAGATTCTTCCTCACTGTTGGAATCATCGTTCCATGTTGTACCACAAGATTTAACGAGATGTACTCCACGCGGCAGATTTCTCAATTTTTATACGATGCGATTCAATTAGCTAGGAGGACAACAATTGAATTGGACGATGGAAAGAATGCCTGAAAGTCGGGAAGTTCTTCGGAGGTCCTTTGAATTCTATTGCGCAGAACGAGTGCGAGTGACGCCCAGGTGAAAAAAGAAAAAAACGAAAAAGCAGATCGAATTGAAAGAAGAGCGGGAGCGAACGGAAAACAATGGGACAGAAAATAGAGGAACAAGGTCACGTTTTTCGTTCCCTGAGGGAAATATGCAACGAGGTTCTAAACGCATTTGTAACCTGGAGAACGACGAATTTTACGAGGTTACTGTGCAATGGAACATAACGTTTGTCCCCTGTGACGTTATCTATAATGCACATTTTCTACGAGTCTGCAGTTTGTGTCTCCTGATAAAATAAACAAATGCCAAGGAATTTCTGATGTGACACTTTTTAAGCTGGTCGACGAGGCGGTGCAACATCCGAGTTGCTATAAAACCATTATAAACACGTACACTCGGTCAATAGTTTTGTTTGCACAACATCGCGTAAATTGAAAGAATTGTCGAGCAAATAGGATTTATTGTTACGGGATAATTCCAACGCGAAATGATTTAAGGGCGAAAAGTTTCACCATTGTAATACCATTATTTTTACATTCGGTATTACTATTCGGCTCCTTTATGTGCAGAAAATATCACGAAGTGCCTTTCCTCTCGACTTTTAAAAAAATTCATATATTTACTCTTACATCAAGTTAAGCTCGATCGAACGAGTTTCTCTGTCCCGATTCATCATATCGGGTCGAATGAGTTATTTCCTACGACTCGTAGTATATTAAATAAAAAAATTAAGAAAATGGGAAACTGTAGAAACATGGACTACGACTGAACTGTCTACAATGTTCGTGTTAGCCGGATCTGCAGATCACGTGGGAGGGGTTATCAAAGTTTTTTAGATATACAATACAATTCCAATCGTGAATTCTTAATTTGACAATTTGACCACGGAAATTGTTGCATTACGCGATCGTTATCATTGAAGTTCGTCCCAGGAAAGGCACAAGGATTTTTAGTACGCAGTTTTAGTGCGCGGGGCTTAAGGAAGAATTACGAGATTAAAGGCGAGAAAATATCGCTGAAACAAAATTGCTCCTTGTCGTGCAACATTGTTCCTCGTGGTAAATAATGTAGACACTGCGACGGCTTCTCCCACAGGCTTTTACGTAGATGGGAAACCGTTTCCGGGCCATGTTCGTTTCTCCTTGTTCTTGGAGCATCGAACCATGACGCTTTTCAAATAAATTCTACTTCAAGTCGCCTTGGTGTGCACTTTGCCAAACCGGGAACCGATCCGATGAATGTCGGTCGATTCCGTTCACTTGAATTCGTGTTGTTGGCGGGAAGTAAAGCCCGACGTCGCAGAAATGATTTTAAGTGCTCACTCCCCTCGGGGCTGACTACAACGAAAAATCCAAGTTTCCCCCAATTCTCTAGACACGTGGAAGCCAATAATATCATATAATAGAAAAAAAAAATGGAGCTTTTATTTCCTGGCATTTCTTTTAATATATCATTTATCCGTGGTTGTAAGAAATCCTTCAAACTTGCTGTTTTCTCCAGAGCAGAGGACAAACTTCCTGTTTCACTTCGTAGATAAGTCATTTCGGAACATAATATCCTGATACACAACGTTGTTCTCGTGCAAAGCTGCTGAAATGGGGATGGGATCAATTTCCTAGGACGAGCAATATCTGACATTTCTTTACCCTTCTTATTATCTACCTTGAAAAACGAATAATTAGACTTACGCGTACGCAGAACACGCGGCGTTCAATTTTGTCATGCAATTCCTGAAGCGACAAAATGTCTTGATCCACTTTGAGGTCCAGAAACGACCTCGATGCATTATTCAAATACGGAAGAATTACTTGGTCTGTTCTGTTCGGACTGGATTTGACAATGAGCCATTAATTACTGCGCTCGCTGGTATTCTTATCCGACTTCCTTCCTTAATGCATTTATGGAGATCGTCTGGTCTCCAAGCTACCTAATTTCGAAGGAACGTGAGTTAAAATGCAATTAGACACGTTTTTTTAATACTTGCACGGAGACGAACGCGTCGGTGGAGCGAAAAATCGCATTCTAAAAGTTTGGAGATCTTGCATGTCGATAGTTTACCTGGACTTCCGAGAGTCGTTACCCCATTGACAAGTAAGTTTGGAAACGCGATTACGCATTTGCAATCTCGTGGATGGTAGTAAATTCCTCCCGACTTGACTTGGGGACCCCTCGAGAACTTTACCTACGGTCGAATCCGAAAGTTGGAACCACTTCGCCGAGTGTTCTTTATGGCACTTCATGGCGGATTTCTCCCGAAATTCGACTTCGAGCTCCTGTCCTCCTCTCGCTTTTTATACGAAAAAATGCTGAGTCGCTGTAAACCAAAAAGCAGGGTCTCGTCAGCTCAAAGCTTGCTTCTGCTTCCCGCAAAAAGTGGCCAAACGGTTCCTTCTTCAGGGTTGTTAAAATTTCCCCCTCGCTTAAACGGCCCCTTCCAGCTGAAAGTCAAACTTCTCGTTGAGAGTACTGACTTGCACTTCTCATTAGAAAATACGGAAGTAAGGAGTGAAAATAATGAAAAGGAAACGGGTAGGAGAAATAAGGGCTAATGGGACGTGAAATAGAAAATCGATATCAGCCCGTCATAGAATTCCGCCTTCGTGCAATAAAGAATTTTATATTTTCGATTCGAGGATTTCAACGAATCACGGTTAGATTTTAAATGCAAGGGTGCAATTGATTGTAATTATTTCCACGTGGTCCTATGCGCGTTCGCCAGTTGGGTTGACTTTTACGTGGAGGTTCAAGTTAACGAATTTCATAGGTCTCAGGGGAGATCAAACAAAGTGGCTTGGGGACGTCCCGTGTGAAATAAGCCGCGGGATAATTGAATCTTGGAATTAAATCGGTCAAGTACTAACTTGTCGTTAGGGTGGATTTCCGAGCAGCTCCACGCACATAACGAAACGAGTTGCGGGATTTCTTGCCGTCGCGTATGCCCCGAACAATTGGGTCGACATTTCCACGCCGGCTTGCAGGCCAAATAAGGAGAAACTCCTTTGTGTCCGAGCCTTTCTTGCCGTACAAATTGCAAATTCAATTTCCTGTCCGGGTTACAAGCTACCACTGTGCTTCGGACTTCCGAGTTAAACCGCGGTTAAGAGGACCCGGGCATTTCGCGTCGTAATCGCGTGTAACGTGAGATGCTCCTTGAATTCTAAATTCTTAAAGGTCTTACTCTTTGATCGTAACGATCTTTACAAATGTAAATTCAGGAATGTAATATAAATTCCAGAAGAGTCAGTCCCTCCGTTTTCAAAAACTCAGGAAAAAATGTGTAATGCTTCTTTTTAATCAAAGTACACGGATAATTCTAGGGTATTATTAAATTATAAAGCACGGAGCAGTAATTTCAAGAAGCGGTCTTATCGTTATTTGAAAATGCAATGCTTTACTCGGTTTAACGCGATTATTCCTCGCGGCAGGTTAGAAATTTTGATATCGAGTTCGATTTAAAGATTTCGCGGAATTCGAGATCAGAATTCTGTTGGAGCAGCACGTGGTTTCGTTATGAGTACTCTTGGCTATTGGCCTTACTATACCTCGGATATAGAAAAATCAGACTTTTTCCGAATTTGCCCGCAAGTTAAGCATTTTCTCCATGCACATTCAGGATGCGGATCACACGTGGATACCCCACGTCCAGAAAAATTCCAATAATCCACCATGGTCTTCCTTTTTGCGGACGTCCCAATACTACAAAATTTTTCAAATATCTCCTGAAACGTTTCCTGTCGAGAAATTATCTTGGATTTCTATTGCGTTTGGCTTCTATTATGTTTCTGGACTCCATGGCGCGAGTTTTCTATTTTTCTCTCTCTCTCTCTTTTTATTTTCTCTTTTAGGTAATTCCGTACACGTGTGCACTACAGTTTCGTGGTGCTTCCATTTTTTTCGGGCCCGGAAAAATATCAATAATGTTAATTCCTTGCAGCTCTGTATGGAAATGTGGATATTCTGATTCGGATTACGTTCCTTCCTGGCAGTCCCTTTCGTATGTATATTACCTGCTCTAGTTTAAGAAAAGGTTCAGATATTCCACACGTGTGTGCATATTTACTCCCGTTTAAAGTGTCGCGATCATTTTCCTGAAAGTTTCTTCAGCAAGGATATGTCGCTATCGAGTTATACTCTTTTGTTGCAAAAAGGAGGTCTGTTGAACTTTCGATATACTTCTCTCTGGAGTTCGTTCTATTCGCCCCGATGCCATTTACTTTCAGTTGGTATTTTCCAAGGAGAAAACACAATGACAAAGTGTCTGGTTTACCACTGGAAAGTTCAACCGGAGCTGTAAAAGAGCTTGCAAAGAGAAATGCTCTTAACTACGGGGAAACCTTCGTTTAACTAGGGATTTCATACGAATATTTTTACGGTCATAAATTACTCGCCTAATTCGCGATGGTATTTACATTTGCATAATACATTGGCATCCACAGGGAATGGCGATAGACAACGAAGTAATTTTAATATCTGCATAATTTTAACAACACTCGGTAGGGTTGCTTCAGTAATTCTCAAAGGGGCTTTCAATAAGTGCTTGAAAGCACGCCCTTCCTGATACACCTCTACGGATTTTCTCGTATCAATCGAAGGCGGAAAGGTTGAATGTTGGAGATGGAAACTCGTGACTTTGACAGAAATACTCACCCTTTCATCTTCAGAGAATCGTTTCAAAATACGTCCTAAAAATGCAATATTGTCAAATTAAGGGTTGCGCACAATCGCCTGGAAGAAATAGGGCACGCTTTATTACGAAATTCCCTTCTGTATAGGACAATGACAGGGTGACAAAAATTCTGGCCAGCACTTTTCGCTAGTTAGAATTTTCTTTCTATCCTTCCGTGGAACATAAAGCAATTATTTCATTAAAATTTGGCTAAATTTTAAATTATTCTGATCGCATTAACAGATTTACGCTCTTCCTCTCCGCCGGATATGTAACAACCACAGTGATTTATTTTGAGCATGAAAAGCCAAAGTTTGAGCAATTAAGGTGATGTATAATGGCTCTAAAATGTATAATAGTCGTACATTCCCTGATAACTGGGGTTGATCGAATGTTATCGCAGTTTACTGTAATGTTTCCAACTCCAAGATCGTTGGATAAACTTTATTGTTACAAAAGTAACACTCAATTTAAGCATTCTCCGCAAAGAGGCGAAATTACACCGTTTAGTCGAAAGCAATCTGCGGCAATTAGCCTCTAAATTTTACGGGGAAAATGCCAATTACCCTTCACTATTTAACATTTATGGGTACAATATAGAAACATTAATCGAGATCGGGTATATGGGCGAGAAATTATAATTTAATAAATTTTACGTCTGAAAATAAAATGTGAACAAATTCTTTTCCAGCTCACAGGCGGATGAGAACTGTCACCAACTATTTTTTGGTCAACCTTTCTTTAGCTGATCTGATGATGACGTTACTCAACGGTGTGTTCAACTTCATCTTCATGCTCAATTCGGATTGGCCCTTCGGTACAGTATATTGTACAGTCAATAATTTCGTGGCCAATGTGTCTGTCGCTTCCAGTGTCTTCACCCTCGTGGCCATTTCCTTTGATAGGTGAGTGGAAAAATTAATTCCATAAAAAAATCGGCATTGTCTTCGCGATCATTTTAAATGGCACGGGTTATATACAACGGAAGGGTATTCTAATGACTTCATCGTGGTAGTGGATTCGTTTTACACACTTCTTGAAGGTACAATTAAGTTCCGGGACGTGGTTATGCTAATGGCAGGTTCACGAAGCCTCCGACTTGCAAACGACAAGGTGTTTACGCAGATGCAGGGGACATTTATAATATTCCATTTCACGTCACCCGGGTAAAACGGGGAAATGCAGCGTACCTCCGGAATGCGAATCCGAGTTACGTATTATTTTACGTATTATTTTTTACGACCAACTGCTTTGCTAAATCTCGCAATGTGATACCTCGATTTTGAAAACCGAACGGTCTAGGACAAATTGGAAAATCTTTCCAGGATCATGTACACCTTACTACATGGGGAAATATTTTCCAGTCAATTATTTCCTACGCTTTGAAAGGTACCACAGAAATTCTGGGTTTTCCGCGTGATTAGCGAAAAGGAGGGCATGTTTTTGCAGCATGATCTCCTACTTTTTTCTAGTTATGTAATTGCCCTTCCACTTGATATTGCGCATGCAAAGAACTGCAGGGGTGCAGTATTTACCTCGGTAATCGTAAAATGGCCATGAAATTGGCCCGCGAGCAAAATGTCGCCTAATCACCGCAATTGCAACCGAATTAACTATTTCTACAAGGAATCGCGTGTATTGGCTTGATGACACACGCGAAGAATGAATTTCACTTGTTCTTTTGCGAGAGCGTGATTACATAAGTGACAATCTGTGAACTGGATCGCTTTATACTCATGAGTCATACAGTTTATAATTTTTTTTTTCCCTCAATCGATATTATCAGTCAACGGAGATAATTAAGTCGGGAACGGACGTTACGCTCGAGGGGATTATCATTTAAGAAAAGAAATTGCAGAGTGCAAAGTGTCTTGCCTCAAAGTGCTGGAAATTTGCATACTGTCGCGAGTGTGCGATTTTATTTTTCCGGGAGTATGCAAAGTGCGACTACGAAGTTACCGTCGACGTTAAAATTCTCGATTTTAACTTCGTGCTTTGGGATTCATTAAAGATGCCGCTTGTATAAACTCCGTTGGACAAACGTTGGCCTGTTGGGAGATTTTAGACTCTGACAATTAATCATAAATAAATTGATTAATGACTTCCTGAATTAAAATTAGCCTGAATTAAGTTGGATTTAAATAAAAGATTTTAATTTGGGAGATTTATTATCGTGCAAGTATATCTGGAGAACGCTTCAATGGACGTTTTGTCACATTATTAACAAAACTGATATCAAATTGTTTTCTTATACATCGACGAGAGACACAAAAAAATTGCAACGGCCTTTTCTTTTTAATAAAATTCATGTAAAAGTTCTCAAACGTGGCAGTTTAAGAACAATTTTAATCGATACTCCTAACTTTGCGTTTGCCTCGTTTATTACACTTACCTCGCAACATTTTCTACTGAAATATTCATAGAGCCCGCCGTATTATTAATTTGTTCCTAAGGGAATATCAATTATTTACGCAAATGAAATTTATCGCCCGGATGCAATCTGAAACGCAGTGCTTGACTGCGTGAGCGATTTTTTATTACCCACAAAATATTTTAATTCGGGCATATGCAGTGATCTTCAATGAAGTTTTAATTAAACGAATCTAGAGCAGTTATTTAATTAATTCCCAGACAATCCTACATAATTTAATATTCGTTACTAATGAAATGAAATTTTTATCGCGTCCTCGTTATTCCGGAAAATCGTATCGCTACTCGTTTCCACCGGAACAGCAAAAAATTGAAATTCTTTAAAGCATTATTAGAATATTTACTGGAGTTTTTCATAAATTATTCCTTCCGTTTTAATTAGGAATTTAAGTGAAGGCTTCATCGGTCTTTGTAAAATCTAGCCGATGCCCTTAAGCATCGCAACGCAGATGTTGATTCTCGCGAACATCGTCAATAGTTCTTCTTTTTTTTCATTAAATTATTCGCATAAATTAGGCAGCTGGGAAGTTTAATAAAATTCTCTCCCTCGGATATCCCCCAGCTTGTGAAAGCTTTGGCCTCCCTCTTCGCAAACGAGGGTTCACGTTTCTTCACCCCGAAGGCTTGAATTATCTCCAGCAATACAAACCTCAGGGGAAGTTTCATCCCGAACAGCACATGGAGTTTACGAGGGCAATCGTCCTAAAAAACTAGGAGAGGGAGCGACAGTTCGAAAACGCGTATCATAACGCAAAATTGATGACATCCTGTTAAAACATTCGACCACGGAATTTATTACCGACAATCCGGTGGCCCATTACACCGCAAAAATATGTCCTTCCGCACATATGAAACCCACCTGTACCCTGATTTAACGTACATACGCGACGCTAAATAGATTCTTTTCAGAATTCCGGCAGGAAAAATGTATTTCAAAGGATACCAAGTTCCAAGATATGCCTTGTAGGAGGAACTTTTACCGAATAAAGCTCGGAAACAATGGCATGAGGTGCATTTTTGGGAGCAAGTATCCCAGCAGAAGGAGACGCGAAAAAAGTCTCATCACTTTCGAGAGTCTTTGCGATGCGCAATTCGGATCCTCTCCAGGGATCATCAGGATTTGCATTTTTGCTTTATTTATTCGTAGAGGGGCCATGCTACTCGGCAGCCCCCGAAATTAGGTGGTTTAACACCCTCTTCGAAATTTTACCCTCAGGCAATCCTTGGGAATTATTGCTGAAATGTGGAGATATTGAGAGTGCAAGTGTCCCCCGCGAATCGTGAATACCCGGATATTAATAAATCGAATAAATCCGCGTCCCGATAATTCTCAGGCTCCGCACGTATTTTCCTGCATAATCGCAACGTTAAAAGGTTCGTAATGATCCGTTTTCACGACTGCTGAGTGAACTCCTTTCATCTCGGAATTTTAACCAAGGCACGTGGTTCGACGTCTTGCCGGAGTTTCAGGATACGACTTTCCTTACTTGTGGAAACTGACAATTAGTGTCAATAGTTATCGGCGCAGCTCGGAAATTGAGAGAAATCGCGGCGAGATCTGTTATATTAAAGATTCACCCGGATAGACCTTCTGTCGTAGAGAACCAGAACGCACCTATTTTGTTAAGTTTAATGAACGTGATTACGCCCTGTGTACGGACCTACGTATCTGCCAGTCGAAATAGAGACACATTGTTCCTAAAGCCGCTAGTACGAAGCCACTTGAAGAGGTGGGTTCGAATTTCCTGGACGAACGGGAATTCCACGTATCATGTATTCATGCGTCTAAAATGTGCATGCACCTTTAGGATGTGGGTAGATTCGCGGCATTGTTTATCAGGTTCGTTGTTTTGCATTTAGCGCAGAGTGGAACGCGAACACGAGTGAAGGATGGTGAATCAAAATTGTATACTCAATCAAGAGGCAGCTGGAATATTTGAGAAAAAGTTCCGACTCTTTTGAATGGACATTTTGGCGCCTCTTGAACGAGGTGACAATACGTACAGTGATTTGTCAATATTTTTTCCCATGTAGTAATGTGATAAAATATTTGTTTTTATTTTCCTTTTTAATTTCGACGGCTCGAAAATGGACACCGTTGTTGGGTGTAGGGGCTTAATTGATTAAATTGGGGCGAAATAAAAAATGACCTGAAGTAAACATGTTTCCAATTTAATTGCGGACCAATTTCACAGGTACATGGCAATCATGCGACCTCTTCAGCATCACATGTCGCGGAAGAGGGCGATTTCGGTGCTGATTTTAATTTGGTTCGCCTCGGCTTTGTTGGCGACCCCTTGTCTGCTGTATTCCACCACAATGACCAGGAGGTGAGGGGTTTAGTTTTTAGGATATAGGATAATGTAAGTGAATATTACCACGGATTGATTACTTACGTCGTTTGAGAGAAACTGAATTAACTGTCGTGCGAGCCCTAAATTGCAAAAGTTAGGGACGAATACGTGTTGGGATCATGCTATTCAGATGCAAATCGTGACCGTTTCCTGTTAACTGGTAAATCATATAGAACCAGTCAACATAACTCTGTACTACTTGCAGCTATTCGAGCGGACAAACTAGAATCGTTTGTTACATGCTGTGGCCAGATGGACATTACCTCAGCAGCATGACGGAGTACATGTAAGTTCCTTAAAAAAAAATTAAAACCCAAGGAAAAACGCGAATACATTGGAGGAAATTTAGGGAATCTTGACTCACAATAAGAATAAATAAATTTATTTATTACAATTTGCACGGGTGAAATATATAGATTTGAAGGAAACGCCTATAAGAATAAGAGAACTGGGGGCAAATTGCATTTCTTGACTCGCACCTAGGAAGGGTAGGTAAGCAAATGGGATGCGGTAAGAGCGCACTAGGGAGAAGAAAATGAGTACATGCTCTATATTAATTGCGCGACGTACCATAGGGCGATACTTGCACCTGAGAGGCCATTAAAAGTACTCCGATCTAATTAGAAAAACGCACTCGATGTGAGAATTTTTGCCAAAAACCGCTGCAGAATTTCACCGATTGGTATTAAATCGTTTGCAGATGACAATGAAACATTCGACGAGGTTTCTAAATTAGAGAAGAGTTTCGAGTTGACTGTAATAGCAATTTCAGGTAGCCTACTATTAGCGTACTGCATTTCCTCCTTTTTCTGCCTACACTGCATTGTTACGATAATGGACAGCAGGTGAAATGGGATACAGAAAACCAGACATTTTCCCTTTCGACTCGTAAAAGAGGTCGCGATGGTACGCCCTTTTGATGCCATTATCATACATACGTACATACGGTTGAGTGCGTTATCATATTCATGCGTGCACGCCATAGTGATATGTCATGGGGCGACATGTCGGTACTTATCTCACATACCTATTTAGCTTGAATTTGTAAAGTCCGGGAGCCATGTAATGCATTCACACGCCCCATGCATTCGAGTACCTTGCATCGTGGAAATTCGTCCTTAATCCGGGAGGAATTCCAGGCTTCCATTGTCACTTGTTCGTATCCTTGCGACCGTACTTTAAAATTAATATTCCTCCACAAAATTGGATACACATAGTTTAATAATTTTCTTACATTTTCCCCACCTTGATGTGGTTATCAGAGATCTCCAGAGCATACAGATTCATTGCTAACAATGTAAAATTCTTCTCTGACGAGGTCTTCTTGCCCCACTGTGTGTCATGTGAAGCGTTTACCATAATGCAATGCAGATTTAAAGCGGTGTATGCAAAGTGGATAATACTTACTGGTGTAAGTGGAGAGAGCCGCGTAACGTGCAAGTGCAGTGTGCATTATTTCAATGTAAACGGGCCGATGTTTCGATAATCCGATCATCGAGCCAAATTGCTTTGCTGGACGCAACGTACTGCATCGAATTCATGGAGTGGCAGGTTACGTCAAAGATCTCCCTCGGAGAATTCACGTAAACTTTAACGAGACGTTAACGAAGCCCAAGTGTGTCTCGTCTCGCGATTGACGGGAGGAAAAAGGAAGTACATCGAGAGAGAAACACCGTTTGAAACGATCCAGACGAGCTGTCTTTCGAGAGACTAACAGAGAAAGATTTGTGTAAAAAATCAAGAGAGGTGAAAAAGCACCGGAAAGGAGCATTTACACTCAATTCAGGTCGCAGGAAATTGAAGCTCAAAGTGCTTCATGTGCGGACCTTTGCTCGCCACGTGGGAACTTATCGATGAAAACGCTGAAATTAATGAAATAATCGAGGAGGAGTTTTGTTACGGCTGAGAAAATTGTAGCGAATTCTGGAGTGAAAAGGCCACGTTTTATCTGGGGAAATGATACTTCGTCGGGTGGAGTTGGACCCCAGATTTATGTCGCCATTTTTTCATCGACTCGTTAGTTTTATTAAATTTAAGGGTTGCTCGGGACGAGATCTCCTGGGACTTGGAGCTACGTGGAAGTGAAAGCGAGGAAAAACCGAGGGAAAACTGAAAAACGAGCAGAAGAGGTCTGACCACCAGCTTGCACGCATAAAGAGGGAGGAGCAAGGGAACTGGGGAAAGGAGAAAAAGAAATGGGCCATTCCGAAGCCCGCCGAAGCATTTGCCGGAGAGCTTTCACCATTCGGACCGAAAGTGAAATGCTTGCAAAGGAGAATTGCTTGCGAAGAAGGGCTTGATAAGAATTTCCCATCGTTTGAGGGACGTACAGCCTCGTCGATTCCCAGACATGGATATTATTAACATTATTTCTATGTGTTATCAGATCGACGAGGAGCACGTGGGAAGATCCTTAGGGCACACAGTTGTTATAGAAAAGCTTCAATTACATCTTTAACCATTACAGACTTATTTACGGTGGCGGTATCCTTACCTCGGGTGTTTAAAAAATCCAGGGAAAAAAATTCACTGGAATTTATTTTCCTCTGCCATAGTTACGGCAGGAATAAAACTCCTGCAGGTGTTTTTGAATAGAGAAGAGGAGGTAGAAATCGCGATTCTTCCCCAACCGCTTTCAAGTTTGCTCCGGACGCCTATCGGAATCTCATTAGAACTTTCCGCAGTATTTCAAGAATCGGTCGTCCTTAATATGGAAATATGGGCCGAAACGGGAGCCCTTATTAACCCCTGTCAGAAGTCCGTAAATCGACTTAGCACTTCTTTCGCCCTCCATTCGGCCCCTTCGAGGGCTCGGAAGCGTCCTTTTCCCCAAATCAACTAAAAATCGGAGTTAAGTAATTAAATGCGATATCAGGCAATCGCTCTTCTTCACCGGTCCTGAAAATTTACCGGGGTCTATTGACAAAGTCAGCCGCAATTTTCGGATGCCACTTGAAATCCGCACCGTGTCAAGTGTACTTGACAAGCGCGATTGCGGACCGACTCCGTGATTGGACGACGTCACCGGCCCGATAAAGGATCGACCAATCACGGTCTCCCAACTCATCTCTGGTATTAATGCCCCCGTGAAACGTCTTGGCTTATTTACAGCTATAATCTGGTGTTTCTGGGGGTTACCTACCTCATCCCCGTGACGGTAATGGCGGGGTGTTACACGCTGATGGGCCGAATGCTATGGGGCTTGAAGTCGATAGGAGAACACACGCAACACCAGAAAGAATCCGTGAAATCCAAGCGAAAGGTATGTATAAGTCCCCCATAAAGTCACGCAATTCCGGATAATTATTTGTTAAACAACCAACCTTTCAAAGGAGGAAATCAGCTGACCTCGAACAATGGTTAACCAAAATTCACGTTAATGATCCAGTACTCACGAGAAATGTTCTTTCCGCGGCAATTCTACATCGAAAACTGAATATTTTCCGGGGGAAAATTTTCAGACGGAGTCGATAACGATAACTTGTCGTAATGTTGAGCTCGGTAATGACGTCCGGAAGTATGATCTAGATGTACGTGTGTTTTATGGGGCGCATGCAACTTTCATGGCGCGCAGTCCGAAAGGATGTGCAGCATGTTATCTACCACTACACGCGCACTGATAAAACTTCGAACGATTCACGCACCAAGTTTTGCAATATCGAGGCAAGCCTTCGTTCATATGATCTTTACAGGTGGTGAAGATGTTCATCATCGTGGTGACAATATTCGCCGTGTGTTGGCTCCCTTATCACGGGTTTTTTATTTTCGCCTACCATCACCGGAGGTTTGTCGAAACCAGCTACGTCCAGCACGTCTACCTGAGCTTCTATTGGCTCGCCATGTCCAACGCCATGGTAAATCCCATCATATACTACTGGATGAACACCAGGTGATCTTGTAGTACTTAACCGATATACTGCTATCTTCTCTGTGTACTTTCTCGCCTCTTGCTATCTCCACCCACTTTCCACCCTCTCCCGATAATCACTCACCGGCAAAGTTAGTTTCGATTTTCACCGTTCTCCGTTCCTTACGTTTATCGGGTAATAATGCCAATCATCTGTCTATCAAAGCCTGCGCATCCGCCTTTGTGTTTCGGCATAATGAAAAACTATCGACGAACTTCAGTTTTCGATTAATTTAGCCTCTCTGACACGTGCGAAACTGCGCTTAAATTTTGAAAACTGGAATTCTACGTCTTCTCGTTAATATTTTCACGACAAAACGTGATATACTTCCTACTTGTAATATCCGTCCGTTCACCCAGGAGTATTAAATTACAAATGCATTGCTCCTGTTTGAACGAGTCCGAATTTCACTTTACATTCGTTTACATTTATTCATTTAGTAATTGAATATTTTTCATACCTCGTTGACGACGATGTTGAAAAATTTCACGAATATTTCGGCGTTCTATAATTTCTTCACTTAATTTTCTTTCGCATGAAGCTTTGGTAGATTTAAAGTCTCCATATACCATAACCTATGGTGCAGACGTTTCATATCCTTACCTAAATAATTGTTCATGTTTCTGCCTTCAAATTTTGGTCCACTTATACGATGAAAAGTTCGTAGTAAAAAATTGTTCTTCCGAGCCACATTGCACAGGTGTTCAAACCAACTTCTCCCTGCGTTTTTTTTTTCGCGTCAACTTCGAGGTTTGTCACCTTCGACTCTTCGCGAAGTAAAAAATAGCGCAATTTTTCCGCACCGATTATTACGATGACCGATTTATACGATGAAAAGTTTCAAAGCCTCCATCGAACGGTAGTGACGGATTACATCAATTTCCATAATTCCAACTCCGGAGAATCGGGCGTGGGAAATTAATCGGTCACCCGAAAGCTGCTGTACGTAATCCATCCGTAAGTGTCAGGAAGATCCATGGTACCAAGGACTACTTAAAGGATTACGACGTGGTTAGATGAAGTACCAAATCAGAGCAAGGGACGTGGAACCATTCGTAGTAAAAAATTGTTCTTCCGAGCCACCTTGTACAGGTGTTCAAACTAACTTCTCCCTGCGTCTTTTTTTCGCGTCAACTTCGAGGTTTGTCATTTTCGACTCTTCGACGCGTAATAAATAGCGCAATTTTTCCGAACCGATCGAAGTTCCGCCAGACGAGTTACTCGACACCTCCGATCCGCAAAACTCCCCGAAGGAATCAGCTAGCAATATTGCGTATGTGTCTGCGCATTTCGAGATTAAAGTAGAGAATCGACAGGTGCTTGGGGAATGTATCCTAATCAAGCGGAGATGGGGCGATATGGTTAGAAATTGAAAATTTCCTCCTCGCATCGTACGTGCTAAAGCATAAAGAATCGATCGTTTATGATTTTACATCGTGATACCAAAAGAAGACAACGTTTCAGGGTGGTTAATTTGTAGCAAATGATTTCAGATTTCGGATGTACTTTCAAAAGGTGATGTGCTGTTGCGTTGTGGACATGGAGAGTGCTCGACGTGGACAATTGCAAAGTTTCCCAGGACTACATGCAACGGAACTGGGACCATCGCACTCTGGTAGGTCATGGAAACACCGAGTAGACCTTATCACCCATCGAGATGATAAAAGTTGCCATAAAAATCCAGACATTTCATTCATAGAGGAAGGTTGTTTAGAAGAAATCCAAGATATTCTCGTAAGGTTTGACAGAGGACGGCAAATATCTATTTCCAGATACATCACCTTTCCTCCTAGCCAGGACAGGTGTATTTAGCGTACAAAACACATAGTTTCCCAGAATAAACTTCGAGGGGATAAATATATAGACGCGATATCCGGTATAATGTTACTTCCGCCGTACATGGGTTCGATAAATTTCTTCTCCATTCCCGAATATGTGCTTGAAAGGGATGAGAGGGGCAGACCTAAAGTGGAAAGAAAAATTCTGTGGGAGGACTCTTTGGGTGATGCGGCAATTGATTATTTTGTTTTTAATATTTCGAAAGGGTCTTTCAATTTTTTTTTTTCCCACCAAGCATCGTTATTGAAGCGGACCGAAACAGTGAATGGAGAAGTTGGTTGCATTGACTTTAGGTCGAAAGGGGCATGGCAGCCGGATGTATTCCATGCAAGCACTGAAAGCTCCCCATTTCGCCGTTTCCCAGCCGTCTGTAAGGCGATCAATCGCTTCCCTTTATCCTGTTTCAGGTCGGGCGAAATCCATGTCCATTCACTGGAGACATAGCAGTACGGAGAGTCATGTGCACACCTTGAAGACGAACTCTCAGAACGAAGACCCCCATCACCGCCAGAACAGCGTGGTTCTCATGAGCAAACCCATGTGTGCACGCGAGCGTATTTGACAAAGGACCACTACTGTATGAACGGTGTTCGATCCTCCGAGCACTCTTACGAGCAATGTACACAACATGTGGAGCTGGTAAATCTACCGCGAATCGATTTAATGGAACTTATTAGAGGCAGCGATCGTACACCAATGTACACGAGTCGGAGTTCCAATAATTAAGTTGGATAAGAGTACAAGTTGGTTGCTCGTTTGAGAGTAGCGACCGGTATCAAAATCTTCAATTAAATTTAAGAGACTGTACGTCGATTGCGAGTATAAAAAGGACTGCACATGAGAAAGTGTACAAACTGTATGACGCGATATCGCTGATGATAGAATCCTTAAGGTGATATGAAAGTGGCATCTGAGGGGTCAATCGTTTATGAAACTTTTCTACGAACTCGGTGTACTAAATTGTTTTAATCTTTACAACATGCATATGGGGGCAATAAGGAAAATCCTGACGTCCATTTATTTCTTATGCAAAATTTGAAAAATGTTATAAGCAAATTAAAAAAAAATTGAAATTTTATGAGTGGCAGGACTTTTTGTCTAGCCTGCGTATTCACATTGTAAAGTTTGAAAACAATCGAGAAATGTTCCATAGACGAGATTTCTTTGACGCCACTTCCACGTTACCTAATGGCACGTTAGGGACTTATGAATGATGCATTTCGCTATTCCTTGTCAAATTAGCGCGATCGGGGATGTTAAATGCGCGGAGGAGTGCACTCGGTGAGGACTTATCAGCTGTAATTCTGCCGCACGATTACTCAGGCTTTATGGAGTCTGTGCATGCAGGTTGCAGAAGCCCTGGTGCATGCAAGATGCGCTTCTCGGATCGCCAAGGGAGCCGCAGCGATCCCGAGTGCATCTTGCGCCTCTTCCCACTTTTATCTGCGCCTTTACTTTTTATACTCTCGACTAGCCAATATAGATGCATTAAGTTATAATTAAAAACTTCGGCAACTATTCGAAGAAGCGTTGGAGATAATTTACGGGTTTTCTACTATCCCGGTTCCCGCTTTGAGCATGCGACGACTATTTTTTAACGAGGAGGCGAGGGAGATCACGAGAACATATTTAGTGTTTTTAACTTCTGAGAAATTTCTTGTTAATCTCGATACAGTCCCATACGGTGTAAGCAAATCAATTGAGGATATTTTGTAATCAAAGCGGCATGTTGAAAATGACTATAGTGCATCTGTTGCCCGCCATAAATTCGGCGACATTTATCCAGAGATTCTGGTTATAAAGTAAGTGTACCAGTGACCGAACACCTAAGACGCCGTTCAGATTCCGGTAAAGATTTAGCATATAAAGACCGATATGAGATACAAATGACTTAACTGATCAAAAAAATTCGGATTTCTAGTTTCCAAAACAAATGCTATGTACATAGAAATGTTGAATAATTTATTATTTATGTCGCAAGAAGTATTCATTACATCCCAGGGGACACTAAGAGACGCAGTTTCCGAACGCCTATGGATCTGAATTTTTCTTCCAGAAGGCAAAAAAACATTTTTAAATAATTCCTTAGCTGTCAGCTCGCTGAGCGATCTATATAATTCGGCACAATTCATCCGATCAATATTACCTCCCATTAAGTCAACGTCTTTTTTACAACTTCTCCTTTTCCGGCAATTCTGCAGTTACTGGCGACCAATGAAGTTCTTATTGATAGAAAACATCCATAAAGTTGGGAGTAAAAGAGATTCACCGGCACTTTCTCTATTTATTGGAGCAAATAACGTTAAGTGCTTCGATTTTTCACCTAAATGATGCCACAAGTTTGTTTTATTTGAGATCTCTCGATATCAAAAGGGAAAGATTGACGGCTTCGAGCGAGTATCTCATAGAATTACCATTAAACTGTACAGTTGTAAATATATCCATAATCCATGTCGATGCTCATATCGAGAGTTTTTATTATGTATATCCTGTCTCTAATTTCCAATCCTCAATCGACATCTGTTATTTTATGATTGCACAGCTGTCACAATGAATTAATGTGCAATGACTCTCCTTTCATAAGAATCGAAGAAAGGTCAGGCCACAGATTATTACCATGCGTTGCTACAACAACTCAATGACAAGTTATTGAAAAAATCGAATCTATTGTGTATATGTGAAGTATATTTGAATACTATACAGAGATGAAACTCGTCAACATGGCTTTGCACTTTTGACTTGACTTTTTGATGCAACAAAAATCTGAAAAAGGAAAAAACTCCAGGGCGTCGAAACGGCTCCATTTCTGTGATTTATTGCTTCAGCCATAGAACGCTTAAAGGGGAACCCTTTCGCACACATTTCCCCATGCTTTTTATCCCGATTCGATGGAGAGTTCTGATTTATCGCTGATAACTTCCCTGGGTCGTATCGTTGTTTGAGCAGGTGGAACCGATCGATAGTGAAATATTGAATTTTAAAATTGTAACAACGTCGCCGAGAAAAATGGACTTCTGGTCCAGTTCTCCGCGCAGTTCCTTTTTAACAAACGCTCATAGTCTGGGAGAAAATTACAAATATTATTTATTAACATTGTCGATGAATCGGAGGATGATATATAGTTCGTAGAGTTCGATATAATGCACAGAATACTAACGTGTGATAAGCAAAGGGGGTGATAGCCCTTCCTCTTCTTACGCCTTGTATATTGGAAGCATGGCGCGATACTCGGAGAGGGTTGAAGTTTAATTACCTTTTGTAAAATAATTGCAATAATTTGAGAAGTTTACGTCAAAGTCTGCTTCCATTTCCGGCAGTGTTTATTGGCAGAGGCATATTTGAAGTTCTCTAAAGGAATCGATCCTGGTGAAAAATCAAATTTTAACCCGACACCGTGGAGGTTCTAGCCTGCCCTGAATATCACTCGTTTAATTAAAGTCATTCTCCAGGCTTATGAGTCGCCGTGACATAAACTTAATTTCTCGGATATTCAGAGCAGAGGACGCGTAACTAAGTGAATCTATCCTCGACGCGGAATATAAAATGCATTGCTCGTGCATTCCGAGAATGAAAGGATAAATTACAAGGCCATGGTGTCCTCTTCTCTCGAACTTTGCCGGTGGAAATTATTCGTTTATCTGGGCGTACTGTTTTTTTTTTTAAGAAAAAAAAGATACGCGTCTCCGATTAAAAACTGGTGAAATGGGGAAAAATCTTTTGTCATTAGGTTTTTGGCACCTCGAAGAATTCTGTAGTCGATCAGAGTAAGGTCGGAGTACACAATGCTGTATATTTGTATTAATTTGGTACATTAATTGGTATATGTCGACATTGACTAATTACGGTTCAGTCAAGACTGGGGGACAGGTAATTGATATATGGAGACGGGCAAACTGAAAATGTCCCCACTATGATTAATCGGTCATTATGATTTATTGAGGCTTGGACAGAAACGGTGCAAGATAAGCCAAAGGTCTAACTAGGAAATACAAATTGGATTAATTATTAATATTGAAATTCAAGAAGTATTGGAAGTTTCTTCTTATTAAAGTTCCCAGAATCAATGTAAGGAGGCTTTTTAGAAAAGAGTATAATTATTCTGTCGATAAGAGGGGAACCGAGAAGGTGTTATCGTGGGAGCTATGTGGGATATAAAAATCAAATTTTGTGGTTTATAGTTTTTTATTTCAGATTTGGAAATTACGAGAAGCTTACTGGCGGTTTCAGACAATTTTTTTTTTATGATAAGAATAATATCATTATGGAAGGAAAACGATACCTGTGGTGCCATCTTCTTGTCGAAAGGCGAAGATAAAACACCAGAATTTAATTTTTACGCTCGAAATTTTGAAACTGTTTTGATAACATCGAATGTGTCATTTAAATAAATAGAGATCGTGATGAAAAATCATTCTTTGTTTCTTTCATCCGGTTTTTTTGTTGTAAGAAGTCAATTTTAATTAAAAGGTTCCAATGCAAACGTTTATCTGCACGCGTCGTGATTTGGAATCGCATTTATTTGTTTACATGGTTGTTGGTGGATATAAATATTAATTTTTCCATAAAAACATTACAATTATCCCTTAATCAGTGTGAGAAACATACACGGTCATATTTACAGTAGTCAATTACAGTGGGTACAATAAAAATGACATACAATTATAGTACAATATTTATAGTTGCATAGAGAGGTAATCATTAATTCCAGCGAGACCTTTCAAGCAAATGATTTGATGGCAGCAGAAAGTTTGAGTATTTTTTCAGACTTGAAGGCGAATCTCAAAGGCAACGAAAGTGTCCTGAAAAGTGCATATACGGATTTTGCAATGTCTGATTATATAGTCGTACGCACTTCCTTTTATTATGAACAAATATATATTTCGTGCTCTTCTGCAATTGAGTTTCTCGTAGAAATGAGATACACCCAGATGAAATGTTACAAATACGAGTAATTCTTATTCAAGTAACTTCAGGTACGAAACGATTATGGATTTGATATTTAAACGAGGATACGTCAATAATTATAAATATCTTCGTTCTACACATTCAAGAAAATAATTTCGCGGAGCACGCGTCTCGTTGCCTATATTTTATAAAACGTATTTCCACCTTTCTCGGACGAGATCATGCGAAATATAATTATGCATTTGTAGTTGAAAAGGCGATGATCAACGTGGCAATATGCAATGAAATAAACAACATTGTTAAATGTTCACTTTACATATAGTCTGTTAACATATAGTTCACGCAGCGCAAAATTATATGGTCAGCCCATGATCATTTTTTTATTAAATTAATAATGGTATCAGGTCTTGGACACAGTAATGGTAATTCTGTAATAATTTTGATAAGGCGGTGAACTGTCATTCCACAACAATGTATTTACACTTGAAGCAGTTCGGTGTCCTCAAAACTTAATAAGAATACTGTAGATTCCTTTGTTAAATCTACAATTGTTACATTTGTCGAGAATTCCTGGAACCTTAGTTTTACGCCTTGTAAAATTGTAATCTTGCAATATGCCAAATAATAATTGTAATATTATACATGTCAAGGCAACTATTGAATTAGAGTTAGAATTTGACCGATTGAGATTATTCTGAGCACATTTCAATGTCAAATATTACAACGATGGAATAATGCAGTATTATTTTGTAATATTTTATTTGAAATTTACAGAATCCTCTTTTTAACGTTTCTAGCAAACTAAACCTAGAGGACAAGCTGAATGAAGATCTTCTATTTGTTTTGTTCTGCTACTATTTTTCTCATTCAAGTTCTTCTCACTTTGTATACGCAAACCACCGGAGAAAAAAGCAGTGTTGTTTTTCATTATAAATTGTTAAAATTAGATAAATTTATGACGAACTGACCAAAGCAACATAGCCTTGTTGATCGAATTGTATCGAAAACGATAATTTTTGTAATTCTGTCCTGACCTATTTATTTTATACAATGTTTGACCGACAAACAATAAGGGCATATTGTTTATCATTCGCGGTTCGTATATATAAAGCTTATATCTATTGTATGGATACTACGCGAATGCTAAAAAGAATTGCTAACAAGTCTGCCAGGGAAATGTACTCCGGACGTTTACGGAATACAAATTGTTTACTACGTATAAAAACAATCAGTAGTATTGCGACAATAGCTATAATTCCCGCGCTGCCAGAATTATGATTAATAAGACGCAGCAATACGAGGAAGCCTTAATTTCAGAAATACTGTCACAATACTGATCTCATATTCTTATCAATAGTATACAAATTGTTTCCGGCAGATTTAGTTATCATCGTTAAGCTGTTATAAAATTACTTCACTTTGGAGTCGCCTTGCACTGCAATGGACTATACGCATGTATTTATCGTGTATATTTTAAACAATCGCCTGATATTAGGTTTATATTTGACATCGACACACTTGTACGGCAGTAGGCAGGGCAGAGAGAAATATATTTGCAATAATTACACAGTCCAAAGTCTCCATATCCGATATCAATTCCCGGAGTCTTTCGAGTCTTTTAAATGGCGTGAAAATGATTTTGATAAATTTACCAATGACTTAGCGACATTAATACGTCTCGTTAATGACGACATCTACAAAGCAGTAGATACCAATCGAAATGCGTGTATGATCGCTTAAATTTTGTCAAGACTATAATACCACCATTTTCTTGGCATACAAATCTTTGTATAGATTGAGTCGAGAATTTGTACAGATTGCGAAAAGTCTGACGGAAAGTGAACATTGTACAGACTTTTCATGTCACGAATCCTGGTGAAATGCTACGGCCAATTCTGATACCATCAATCTTGAATTCCATTCTCTTTGGCACAGTAATTTCTTACCTTGCTTATATATATAAATATAAGCAATAATTCCTTATGCAAAGTTACCGAATAATTGCGCATCACATCGCGACCGAATGTCAGAAAATTAAGCGACTCGAATATGTCTTCACTCTTTGCAGATACTGAGATTACTGTCAATGGAACCATTATTAATCAATAGTTATGATACATCCTTACCTGTTTCTAGTTTATGTATATTGGTCAAGCACTCAATTTCACATCTTTTTTACACGTGGATGTACAATATTTACAAGACTTTAAGAACAATTCATTAATACCACAGGTATTGTTGAGTGCAACGCAAGACTATTCGATTTCGGGTCTTCGCAATAAATTCGATAAACATCAACGCAAAGCTCGAAAAACGTAAGCTGAGAATACTAAAACCCAAAGTTCTAGAAGTCTAAGAAAATAAATCCTGAAAATAAAAGTAAGGCGACTAAATAAAAAGGCGGCAAATAAGTTTTAAAAAAGAATCCATTCCTGTTTCCAAATGTTTTTACAAATTCCGCGCTACTATTTAATCGGTCTGATACGACGTAATAACTATTGTAGGTGAAGTCTGATAAGATGCGCTAACGAATCAGCGGAACATAAGAAATAATTAAGAATAACGAACCGAAGTGATTACACGATTGGTAATAAATTTTTCAGGTCGTTTCAACGTAAGCTCCGAGTCACACCCTGTAAAATATACAAAACGTAACCGTAATGTTATAAGTCCGAAACAACACTTGAACAACAACAGAAAAAATCACTCGTGGATGGTCCTAGCTATAAGCTATTAACAATTACACTTGTACGATAAGAAATGCAATAATATATAGCACTAAGGGAAGGTGGACTTCACTGACGGTGCAAAATGAGTTAACTTTTTAAGTCACCCCGATGACTTACTAAACAACGCATGTTATTAATAAAGTAAACTCATTTTCTGGCCACATGATCCGCATATTCATATCCGAGGTGCGATCGCGAATATCGGACCAGGTCGGCATAGCAACGTGACAATGCAAAAGGTAACGGAATGGCAAAAAATTAATAATAATTCAGGTTTAGCAAATCGCTGAAGGGCTCGCCGAGAGGAATTGATAAACATAATAATTAATAATAATGGATTTCCGAATAATTCCCCATGATCGATTGCATTTAGCAGGATGGTCGCATCGAAAATTGGGAATGTTCATAATAATCTGTACTGTTATTGCGAGCTATTTAGCAAGAGGTTTCCGTGAGAGCAACTCAGGATAACATTGTTGCCTTCTAACGTTCCATTCCGAATATTTAAGCTTAATGATTAATTAAAACAAATAGGTAAGATACATCTTACAGTGCAGCACTGCAATTGATCGACTATCGCTTACAGGATCTCCCCGCGATTTACAATGTAGCACAGCCTTTGCTAAACCCATTTTACGCGATTACATATCTAACGAGCAACATATCGTGGCGGCACTATTACACTGCTTTATTATTACGGCAACTTATGACTAATTAACATCGCGAATCGACGACATAAAATCGTGGCGGCACCGAGGCCTTACAGCGACAGATGACTCGGACGAATAATTATTACAAGCAAGGATTGCAGTATAAAAAAAGAAAAACCATTAATTTCGAGTGAGCTTTTCGGTGTTCAAGAGGAGTACATTAAGATCGGTGTTGAAATTACAATTATATCGACCGATATTCGGACCATATCCAATTGTCTTATCAATTATGAATTTCACTAAATTAGATAATAAACTCAAAAATTATATATAATTTTACTCCGTCAGTCGACGTGCAGCATGTCACAAATGAAATGAATTCCAGACGTGGAACTTAATTCCTGCGGCGGAATATACCTATAAATTATACTGCAATTAAATTAACTCATTCTCTTCGCGCATTCATGAGAGGTCTTACATTGGTGCATAAGTGGATTATTATTTTTTTTTTCTTTTCCTCTCTCGATGTAAACCGTCTTCATTCGTAATGTGCCAGTGTTGAGAAAATCTGACTATTAATTAGGTAAATGAATTTCCTATTTTTATCAAGAAGGATGCACTTTGGATGCAAGGAGGAATGTCATTGTCATCGGACAAGATTCGTCCATGCTCGCCTCTTTCGAGTCACTTTAAATCCGCCGTTTTGTAGAAAATATTTCGAGTTTCGTCTCGCTTTAGTGCTTCCAATGCGTTCGGGAATGTTTCACGGTACGATTCTGCACGATTGCACCTCGAAGACCGGCCTTCGCCGATGCATCGAAACTGCAAAGTGCAGGGACGAGATGCACCTACTCGTGAACACGGATCCTCGCGTCCGGATTATCATTACATTACAACGTTAGTCACGTATCTCGTTACAAACTTGGTATCCACGGACGATTTGTTCCGTACGTGAACCTTTCCCCTATCACTATATGGTATACCGTTCGGGAGCGGCTCGTTAAAAAATAGATAATAATAGAATTAATATCACGTTTAGCCCATCGCGCTCATCTTGCGGGAAATTCCTCGAAAATCTGCGACGCTGGACGTCGCGAGAAATCGACGGATTTCCATAAGAGACGTGTCACCTCTCCGGAGACTTTCGGGAACTTCGAAGTATCTCGGAAAACTTTACCTACATTCCATTTCCATGAATTCCGACACTCGCGGGAATTTCCGTCATCGCTGGAACTTCGCTCGGAAAATATTAAATAATATTTTCCGCGTCATTTAGGGAATTTCTTGAGTAACGAAATGGTAACGATGTTCTGTACGTTGAAGTACCAATTTAATGTACAGGTAGATTACCTCAGGAAAAATGTATAAAGTCGATATATCAAGTTTGAAATAAAAATTTCCCAGGAGGGAGCGAGCTCGGGCGTTTTCTGGCTGCGGTTTTCTCACGTTTTCCGGCAAATTGACAACGGGGAGCCCGTTTGAAATACTGGCCGGAGGTTTCCGAGGTTTCCGGGGAAGTGACAGGTCTACTCTGGTGCAACAACAATACCTTTGTGCTGGCGCGACACGATCCTGATCGAGTCGCGGATCGCGCGTTCCCTTGGGAAATCGGCCGGCGATCGTTCCTGGCAGCAAAAATAAGAGAATCGACCCAACCGATCGATCCACACATCGGCGGAAAACGCACGATTCCGTTAACGGAATAGTATTAGGTTTCACCCAGTTTTTGAATGAATTGGCCTTAAACATCCTCGACTTTCGGCGCGATTTATCCTTGCGGCAAAGATGGCCGAATCCTTGCCGCGCCCCCACGACCCCACGTCGATTGGATTCGATGTCACTACGATTTAATCTCTCCTCTGAAGGCACGACTTCCATTTGTTCGCGATAGAAGAATAAGAGCAAATCTCTGCGACGAGGAAGGCCGATTTTTATCGTTCCGAACCGCGAGAAAAAGAGATGTCCCTTCCAAGCGAGGGTCTTATCAGTTATGGAATAATTTTTTTCAACCAGTCCCGTTTCATAATTCGGGAATTAAAAAATGCACGCCGTTTCTTTAAACTCTGAGCAACGCGAAGGTAATTTTACGACTGGCTCGTTAATTTAGAAAATGTGGTTAAATAAATGATTTGGCCACTCCTCGCGCCGAGATATTGCGTTTCCATCGTAGGGCGAACCTCGCGGAGGTGGGATGCGGAAAATATTGCGTCTTCGGGGTTTCCGAAACTACGCGATTATTTTCTAGCGATTCTTCATTCGGCGGAGTCGATGTCCCGACGGATATTTAATCGAAGAATCCGCATTATGCCTCGCCGTTCCCATTTTCTCCGCGGAAGCCGATGCCGGAGGCGACGATCTCATTTCCATTGGCGTGGTCGATCAGCATCTGTGCAAAATGAGATGCTAAACTGCCGTGGGGGCTCTGGATTGTCAATGCCATTTCGCCTTTTGCGCGAATATATCCGCCCGCAGGTTTTGAGCGAAGCAGATGCCTAGAATCTGGAATTGGAAGAGAAAAGTCATTGCGCGCGGTGGAACTACGAATTTCGGCAATTGCACATCCGATACGGGGATCTACCGACGATTATCGACCTCTACACATCGATGAAATACGTAAAAAGCTGGCAGGCTGGATAACGGAAGGAAGAAAATTAACATCCACGCATAACGATATCGAACTCGTGCTAAGGTCGATACTGCATCTACGAGGCGACATATGTGCATGCTGTACTCGGCGGCCCGACATGAATTATGGATAAAATTTAAATCAAAATCAAAACGAAAGGGAGTTCTGCACTTACGGCAGTTTCACATATATCAGCTGCGTGCACCCGAAACTTTCGTGGGGGGAGTTTCCCTTCGCTTTATATTTACTTTTTCTATTTTTAATCCGAAATTCGTTTTCAACTACCCCCCTGGGCGTGAAAATTCGCATTTCTATTTAAATGTGGCTTTCGGACGTGGGGTGGAATCCGACGTGTGGACCTCTCAGAAATGCATTACACCTCTCGGGAGGGAATGCACATTCCTCGTTAACGCTGCGTAATGTACGTCGCAAGGTATACCTGAGAAAATGCTGTTATCACCGCACCAATGGCTATTGGTAGTAAATTCCGTTCCATCCACTCCTCCCCTGCCTGAACGCATCCCTTCTCGTATATTACTTTGGCGACATCGAAATTCTGAAAGCAAACATAATCGACCACTGCGTACCGACTGCCATTGGACAAAATGTTTCTAGTTCGGATGAATTAGAGATGATGTTAGTTCGGGTGCGGCGACCGTGTCAACGTTGGGCTGCAAGAAGAAGGGGCTCACTTTTTTAGAAATTTTAGGGATGCAAGAATTTAAGCCAGCGGGTTCATTATTTTTCGAGTTAAAGGATAACGTCTAACAACGATGATGGATTTCTAACTACGGCTTAATTTTAATAAGGGTCCTTTTATTTCTTTTTTTTTTTCTGTTCGACAAACTAGGCTAGTTTTGTCAGAGGATCGTTTTCGTGTAAGGAAGTAATCGAATGCCGTGGATCGTGGGCGCGGTTAATCACTCGTTTTTAATCCCGAGGCTAAAGTGCCATTGCAATCTCAGATGTCGCATTTTTCAGCTCCAAGATACGATGATTAATGTCTCCGATAATGGGAGAGGAAAGAACTGGGGCCATTGGATCGCGTGTCAGCTCCGTATAAATGCGCCACGTAGAAAATCCGCGGTTTCTGAGCATTGACCTCCGTTTAACTGCGTGCGGTCTGGGGTTTTCATTAGAATTCACATCACGTAACTAGAGCTTCTGCAGAAAGCTCAAAAGTCTCGCCATTTTTGCCCGAGTGCGATTTATTGATCGGCCCTTCGAAAGAGCGAAGACGGAAAAAGCATGGGAAATTTATACGGGGTGGTAATTCCAAATCAGTCATTCAGACCGAATGAAACAACGTCGCGATAACACGACAACGAACAACTGGCGACATTAATTCAAATCCAATGCACATGCATCTAGGACTGCATTAAAGTGAAACCAATCAAAGGCGAGGAAAAAAAGAAATCGACGAGACATGCTGTGATAAAAATTATTGTACAATAGCGAACATTGCAGGACTCTAAATGGGACTTCCAACTTGTTCATCATTAATTTCGGGGGATAATTGTCGAAATTCAATTCACCAATTCGTACGATGGTTCACGGAAACCGATATTAATGCGAAATACGTCGGCATATTATCGGAAAATTGAAATCGATACGGGGCTTTATTTGGTATCGAGATATTAATTTTTTTTTTTTAAGACGTGACATTTTTCGTGTATAAAACAGGAGCAAATTCCTTAATCATCTCGTTTCCTGGGCCCTGATTCTTAAGTCCATACAATCAACTTTCGTATGCGAAATTGATAGTTTCGTACAACATCTTCAAATGTTGTCCAATGACGCGACTTTGCAAGAATACAAAATTTTTTATGCGAATCTATTCGTATGCGAAAAAAATCCGAATGAACTCGAGAATCGGGTCCCTGGGGCTTTGTCATTTCGATTAGCTCGTAATGTCAGATCGTCATTGTCTGTTTTATCATTTCTGTGGTAATATCGGAAAAGCGAACTCGTTAGCAATTGGCAAGGAACTTGGCGAGATTTGAGGGTGATCCGTGAAAAGGCACCCCGGGCGTTTTCCCGCCCCAAGGGACGATCTAACGCGAATCCCGTGTACCGATGAAAAAGTTGGAAAGTTCCTCCGAAGGTGGGGACTTGCCCTGAAGTACCTGAAGAACCATAGTGCTAACAACGGCGCCCGCCACGGGCACCAGGTTCAATTCTAGCCACTCCTCGCCTGCCCGAAGGCAGCCTCTTTCGAAAATGCTCCTCTCCCCGGGCTGCATTCCAACAATCGGCAGAAACAGTCAACGTTATTACTTTCTTTACCTGACAACGTTGATAGAACACCTCATTTGCTATGCGAAAGAATAGGGCAGCCACTCAACACTCCGCTGACCCGGGCGCAACAGTTGTGCAGTTGCAACGCACTTTAATAGGGACTTAAATAACAAAATCGTCCGTCAATAGACATAGGATGTAGGAAGGTAAATCGTGGGCCGAGTAAATAGGAAATTGCAGATTTTAACATGGGGAAACATAATTTATGGGAAGCGGCGAAGCCTTCATGGGGTGGAAAGCGAGAGTTTGATTTCGGGGAGAGCCACCGATGCAACACAGTTTTCGTCTTTAGAGGGTTCTTTAGGGTTTACATATTTTATTTCGAAGTGGGAACGGACTTAAGGTCTGTGGTAAATTAATGTAAAAAGGTAGAGGGACACCAATTATTAATCGAGGCTTCGTATTAAAGTGTCGGTGTTGGGAACACTGAGTAATGCCGTCTCCATTAGAGGGACGCAGTTAACGCTCTTCGAGGCTTTTTAACGGCAAACTTGGGTTTCTGGGGTATATTGTAGAGATGGATGGAAAGTCGATCGCACGATTGGAAGTTGATAAATAATTAGAGGCCCGAAGTAACCGGCGGAGTATCGACAGGGGTTGATAGAGTGCTCAGTGACTAAGGAGAGGCTTATTCCGGGTGGCTCCGACCGCAGTCAATAAATAAGGGCACAAAGCATGCAAATTGCAAAATCGCCCCCTCCCCGGGATTCCTCGGCTAAGTTACTCGAGCCTATTCGGCGGGATTACGTCCCAGGTTGTGCATTAAATAAAATTAAGTCCCTCCGCGAAGCCCATTACACCTCGCTTTCATGTCGGAGCAGACGTTCGTCTTATTCCCTTTACATCCCTAACGCAATTACGCTCGGTTTTGCCCACGGGCTACGAAGTCGGAACTATCCGCGAGGGAAAAGGCAGCTTCTTCCGGAAATTTCCGCAAACCTTGCGAAATCGACTTGTCCGATGTAATCCGCGCCTGATCCGTTTCCGGCATCGCAAAAAGGGACCCGCGAGGTAGAGACGCGCTTCCGGATCTCGAAACTCGTTGCGCGAATTAACGCTTTTGGAAAAGCAGTTTAGACAGCACTTTCCCTTCCCCTTTTCGAGTCTAGGAAGAGATCTTTGGACGAAGTGCCCCTAACCACCCTGTCCGAAGTTAATATTACGCAAGCGGTGGAAACTCGAGGATTTCTTTCCCTTTTAATCAGCGGAAGGAAATAACTGAGAGAATTCCCTTCCCGCCGTTAAATTGATCTAATTTATTTGCAGGAAACAAGTCCTCTCGGTTAAAACCACCGCATTTACTGTTCAAGTAGGTGTTCCTCTCGTTTCTTTTTACTCCCCGGGTAATTACGCTCTTACTTGCATCCGTGGGCCGTGGAAGGCGAAGGGCAGGAAAAAGGGCGATAAAGTAAATGCGCCGGTGATTTATGAAAACTTATTCGCAGTAAAGTCGAGTGGCACTATCCAATAGCGATGCCACTTCAAAATCCCCGGTTTATCGAAATAACAAACGCGACTGCAATTGAATTAAATTAAATTAAATTAAATTAAATTAAACTAAATTAAATTAATACAAGCCCTTGTTTAACACATTCAGTAACAGGCTGCTCGACTAATGCAACCTGCCGATTGATATTAAATTTATGGCCGAATGTTCCTCATTTTGGTGCACCTGGGAGGCTAAGTAATTATGTTGCACCGGTGTTCGGGGAGGAGTTTTTATTCTCGAGTTCATTCATTGTCTTTATATGCGTCGATTCCCTCGAAGTATACTACCAACCTCTTCGGCCTCTTAATGAAGTACTTATACCCCAGGGACGTAAAGAGCGCCATAAACCTGACCTATTAGAATTTGCGAGCAGTAGATAGGGCTCGAATTCTTAACTTCTAACTGTCGGGGAGATAGAGGGTAGCTTTGGTAGAATTTAGAGGCCGGTCTGTATCAGCTAAATTGGTATGCAAGTGAGTCTTATCGCCGGCCTCTTCTGACACAATAATACCTCGTAATTGCGGGTCCTCGAGCAAGAGTAACGTTTCATGCCCCTCGCGGAAATAAGTGCCGATGGAAAGTGCCTCTTAGCGAGGAGGAATTTTCTGCAGATCCAGAACTCCGTCAAAGGCGGAAACGTGTCGCGAAATTGAATCATTAGGTGAATCGCAGAGCCGATGGAGCTGTAATTAGTAGATTTCTTGTCGGAAGTCTCACCTGGATATCCGCGACAGGTAATTTAATATTCATACCACTAAATCAGAAATAAACCCCCATCTAGATCCTCCTGGTCTCGAATTAGCTATCGAAGTTCCTTGTCTCAGTTCGTATCGATACAAATTCTTAATCTTTTGGAATTGAGTTCCTTGACCTTCGAAATAAGAGTGATTCTTAGTTACTAGGTAAATTCGAGATCCATATGCTTGGCGTTTCGCAGAGATATGAAATATTGATTGCTTTTCAATTTCCATGTCAAATTAGTAATCCGTCAATTTAGGGTAACAGATCCACGACTTTGATGTAGAATTTATTGGATCGCGGTACATCGTACTTGGTATTTCCCAGAAGGGAGAAGGGCTTTTCAATTTCGCAATTTTGCACTCGCGATTGCTTATCTCAATGCATGCAATCCCGTGTGGTGCAGCACACGGGTGAAAATTGCAAATGGGACCAATTAAACGCGGAGGTATGCAACGTTAAGAGGAGCAAAAAGAAACTCGCTGAAACGCAACTTGGATATATCGATATTAAATTACTGGCGCAAAACGAGAAAGAAATTATTATTGCGCTTTGAATGTCGTTTGCTTGGGAAAATGTTGCTGCATTTACCAGACATGGAATAGCACACGAAATGACAGGACTATAAAAATGGCTGATACTTGAGCTTTTGTACAGAATTTTCGTTGATTTGTATATATTGATTTTTAGAGGTTTAGGTCACCACTCTAAAGATGAGAACTGCGGAATGTTAGTTGATTTGTTAAGAGGCAGAAATTTGTTGCACATGACTAATGACTTACGTAGCCAGGTTTTCTGACGTCATACCCGCACTGCTTGTTCTTGATGATCTCCTGGAACCCACGAGAAAGCTATTTACATCGTTTTGTCTATGCACAAGTCACATTGGTTAATAAATAATTGATCTTTGTCATGATGGCTTACATTAGGTTTTCTCTTGCAGCAACTAAACGGGACCCCGCAAGCTTCCCTGGAGCCAATTTCACTGGAGGAACAATTGAAGTAATTATTACGGTCCCAGTCTTTCGGGCCCTCGATACCGCAGCACTGCAACTGCAAATGCATTTACAAAGTTTTAGTACCGTGGGTAATTATTTTCTACCAGTTAAAAGGATTGGCTAAAAAGTAATTTAATGTATTTGCTGGTCACATCAAACGGAAGTCGCTTCGACGTAAACTGGTCTATGACTTTGAATAAATTTCAAGAGTAATTGCGATTACTGAAAATATTAGTAATTAGACATTCTCTGCGATTCCGACGCGTGATGTAAGGTGTAGGAGAAATGAATGTCGTCCCGAGTATAAAGAAGAAGGTTCTAGGGAAATTTTCTCATTTCTTCCGTGACTTCTCCGCCTTTGAAGAAAGCCAAAGGAAGGAGGCCTCACCGAAAAGTAATTCGTCGGAAAGAGGGGACAGCCCGGGATAATGCCTCGAGATATTCATTAAATCTCAATATCTGTCGCTCTCGGATATCTCCGACCCTCTTTTTCCTCCTGCCTTTGGAGCGACTTCTCTTTTCGGTTCGACTAACCACCCTCTTCTATCCAGTTTCATTACAGCAAGTACCTGGAAACTGTTGTCGACTTTTGCGCATTTCCAGTGTAATATTAAAAACTGCTCGAAGTAATAGATCGGAGATTTTTCCCGATGTTTGTTGTTAAGATCTTCAATGCTTTCGCGATAATTCGCTCATACGTTCTCGGCGAAGAGATTTGGAACGCAATGAATAACGCTTTGCTTTCGAGCTCCCTAATTAAGATTAATTGCGACGTACCCAATCCTCTTGAATCCAGTCAATGAGATTTTGTTGATCGGGGTCCTCTCGATAATGGATGATAAACGCTTGGAAACCCCCCGTAGCTTGTGACTTTATCTGCAAGGAGGAAACCAAAGATCGATCAGCCACTCCTACAGGTGCGCGTAGATCGACGCAACCGAGGAAGAGAAATTCAGGGTATAAGCGAGGCATTCAGCCTATACTGTGCACCTTCTCTTAACAAATCTCCATCATAATTCTGGCTAGGATTTCCGAGGTTTAATCAACTTGTCCAGGCCACGAAAAGTAGCTTTGAAGCTGCGCGACTTCGGGCAGACACGTACATAAAGTTGCATTAAAGAAGGGTCCAAGTTTCCGAAATTTACGCGTCCTTTGAAAATGAACAATTTCGAGTAATTGAGGCGAAAGACATTTTTAAAGTACATCATGCTGCATTAACATAGGGTTAAGTTTCACTTATCAAAGAATTTTTTAATGCTCTTTAAAAATCAACAACTTTGAGTAATTTAAACGTAAAGACGGTTTTGAGTACTTTGGTAATGTTCAACCGGTAAGTCTTGGATCAAGGAGAAAGCAAGAAATTATAAATGAATTTTGGAAATCACGGTATTTATTTTGCACTTTTGGTTTGCTTGCTTTTGAGTAGAAAGTATGTCAATTATGATTTGCTTCTCTCAGCGCCATGGCGAGACAAATTACGCTCCGGTATAAATAGAGTGCAATGCTTTCGGATCATGTGCTTTCATGTCATTCCACGAGGCGTTTCAAAATTGTCCATTACGGCAGACAACTCTGAAAATGTCGATCAGTGGAAATTTGTTTTTCGACGAGCTGGAGAAAAGAAGCTTGGGGATAGAAAAGGTTTTTTACCCAGTCCTTGAAGATGAAACCTAAGACGCCAGTCGTCATCTCCAGTAACAGCAGCAACGCCAGAAATATCGCATACTGAAACAGACAAAAAATATTCAGCAATAGTTCAGTTAACAAATTATCTTTGATCAGCAACGGGTGCACCGCGGGGAATTTCCAGAAGTAAAAAATTCTCGCGGCATAATGGACGATACGAGCATATTTTCACTGTTTCCGCATCCAGGGAGGGTAGTCGGCTTAATTAAATTTAAATTAAAGTAAAAGCTTCGAGTTGAGGACGAAACGCAGTGCGGACCGCCTGAAAAGTGGCGAATATTTCACCTGGTGAAAAATTCACGCAATTTAATGAAGTTTTATATAGTAAAAGTACCGGATAGAGTCTCATCTGCGGGGATCCCGGCACATGAATTTCCCAGCTGGCTGGCTAACCAGGGTGCAGTTTTAAATGACTCCGAATGACATCTGGACCCGTTAATAACCCTCCCACCAAAAATACTTTATAGGGAATTTAATTAGTTCATAATTACCCCGATAGAAAGTGCAAGCTGCTCGGAAGATTCAAGCTTGAGATCGGGAAATTCGGTTATTTTGTTCAGGGTAGGAGGTCCGAGGTATCTAATTAAGAGGTAGGATAATTAAAAGGAGACTTCCAGGTGAAGTCCTACCCCCTCGCCCTCGTGAAATCCTATTGTATCCTCATGGAGGTAAATCCCAAAGGATTCGTTCCTCAAAGCCGGTGCCCAAGGGCAGTTTCGCATGTCCAATCCTAGGTACCTACTTGCCTAATGCAAACCGTTCTATCTCTCTCTTGAGTCAATTTTGTCAAGAGCCGCAGGTTCAATCGAATCGACTGTACTCGGGGCCCACAGAGGGAAGTGCACTCGAGCGTAGTGTATGCACCCCTAAGTTCACGAGAGCCATAGGGCTTGCAAGTGAGCAGATTGATCAATTCCATCGAAGGGAAGTAAAAACAGCAATTAATACCGATTCGAGGCGAAAAAAGGGGCGAGCTTTAAAAAACATCCCTTGCCAAACACGCGGACAAATCCAAAGGTACTGGTAAAATTTCCCGCAACATCGGCAAACTCTATCAATGAGTGGCCACATCGGAATGCACGGTTCGTCGTGATTAGCCACTTCCGTTAGAGCCACCAACGATGCACTTTCCTGCACGGGAAATCACCGATTACCTCCATCGAATCTCTCCATGGTGACCCGAGGCTCCCGTTTGATCGATTTCGCTCCCACGTTTGAACTTCCCATGCAAAACCTAATCCCACCATTTATGATAAATGATAGGAAAAGTGCACAATGAGAAAATCCCGCCGATATCGATTAACCAACAATTCGGGACCTTCTCGCTTTAAGAATTGAATTTAATCGCGCGTCTCGATATACTCGTCAAGCTGCCTTTATAGAATTTCGAGGTAAATAGAGCAATTCGTCGACATGCAGCGTCTCTCTCGCGGATCAATTTAGTCAAGAGCTGCAAGTTCCGATCGATTTCGGCATCTGCACGGCCGAGTGCATCCGATAGTTGCATATGCACCCGTAAGCTCAAAAAAGGACCAGACCGCCATCAAGGTAGGGGGGCGATCGAAAGCTTTCAGGCAAGTATAAGAACGGAAATCCTCAATCGTTTAACTTGACGATGGTAAATTTCGCCCCCGAGAGAGAAGAAGAAAAAAATGTCCGCTTTTGGGAGAAATTAAAGGAAGTAAACGGCGATTTGCAGAATTCGATGCTGCAGCCTCGGAAATCGCTGGGGAGGAGGCTTGGTCTTGGGGACATTGTTTGGTGATTTTCTAGGGATAACGATGGGGGGCGTCACTTACCGCGGCTAGGAGGCACGTATTTTCCCTGAGTGCACCGACACACCCCGTAAATCCGATGATAAATGTCACTGTACCTGCAACAAAAGAGACATTATCAGCCGCGAGCCCAGGATCGCATTGTCCGCGGAATTCCGCCGCTTTGTCCGGATGCGCGATGGTTTCGAGAACGCGGAAAACTCGGTTATATCCGTCGTGTTAAAAGTCCGGAACTACTGGCGCCTGCCGAGGGCGTCGATATTGACGTCGGGAGGAAAGCGAGAAAGAAAAAAGATAAATGCAAACACAGGGCACGATACAACTCCCTGCTAATTACCGATAACTTCGAATTCGCGCGAAGGGAACGACAGAAGAGTTGAAGGAAACATTTATACAGTTAGGATCCTTAATTGGAAATGTTAATGCAAATAGACTCGATATTAACACGCATGGACATAAAGAGTAATGACCTGAAAGAAATAACAATTACGAAAATTTCTTCAACACCAAAGCACAATGATCGGTGCCAGTAGTAAATAACCGAAAAAAGAATAGGGATGAGGTACCAATAATTATAAGCGGCGATTTTAATGCCGCTATCACTATGTCATAAGCATAATCTCCGATTGACTCCTCGGTCAAGAAATTGAAATTACATAACGCTAACGGAAACGTTTACGCAAATTGTCTAACTTTTCTACCGCGCCGGTATCCGTTCGTTTAATTACGTGTTATGAAATATGGATCGCGGGAGTTGATGCACTTAATGGACAGATATTAAAAAATAATGAAAGACGTTTCCCCAAATTCATTGCGTCCTTACAGTATTGCGGCCTTCTAGTGATAATACTACTCCACAAATGATGAATGCAAATAGAAGTTTACTGTAGAAAAAGAAAAGTATCATTTCACTTTCCGGAACACTTTTCCCTTTCATAACACGCAAGCTTGTTTGAGCTTTCGTGCTGTATGAAGTTTCGCTTCAATAGTAGCAAAGAAGAATCGTCTTCTCCGAGAAGTAGACTTCCAGAGGCGACTGAGAGTCCTCGGCGAATCAAGTCTTTCTAATTGGGATTACCCGAAGTGCAGGCAAGGATCCTTGGAGGTACTTCTCGCGGGTGCGTAATCGAGCCCTAGCTGATCCTCGGAAGCCGAAACGCGGTTAATCCGGGGAATAAAAAGCGGAGAGGGCACGTTGAAAGTTCCCCAGAGAGGGGAAGATCCATTCTCACCAGATCGAAGGGTGGAGGCGGCACTAATTATCGGTAATCCGATACTAGCAGCCGACAAAATGCGGAGTTTACCCGAGCCCGTAAAGGGCAGCTTTTGAGCGAATCCGAAGAGAAATCGCTTTGCCAGCCAGGTTTATTATCTCCTCTCCGTCCTGATCGCGTCAGGTGCTAAAAATACATGGGCTGGAGGGGACAGGAAAAAAATCGACAAAAAAGGAGGAAAACTGCGCTCGGACACAAAGTCAAAGTGACGTCAATTATCGGCGACTCGACCCTATAAATACCCGAAATGTAGTGTGCGAAGTCCTCTGAGAGGCGTTCGTAGCCTCGTAGTCGGGCTCTATTGATTTTTATTAGAGCGCCGACGTCCCGGCCTGACATTATGCTTCTTCTGGGAGGCATGATCGCGATTGATGAAGGCAATAAACCTCGCGATCCGATATACGGAGCCGCGGTTCGCGAATTACGCGAGTTCCGAGCGGGTCGGGAGCGCGGCCCAGTTTTTTCTACTTTTTTTCTTTTTCATTTCCATTCCCGTAATTGGCGTTCCTGTACTGCATCCGATCATGCATGCCGCATGCTCGGCTGGACCGCGAGCCGAGGAGTTGCAGGAATTTCAGACTACGAAACGACATAATCCCGTCATCTCGTGTCTTACCCGATCCTCCAGGATGCAGAGCATCCTGACATGCATTACGCGCTTCTCTCCCTGAGCGTCTTGTGTTTATCTCTTGACAACTGTCAAGAGACTACGAGTACCTGTCGGCCGACCGACAGATGTGTTTGTGTATGCTGCATAATGCATGATTTCAATAAATAGTTTATTTCCGTAATCTCGCCCTTCATCTCGTATACAGTACGAGTAATTGTATTAGAACAGTCGTGATTTTATCGCGGCGATTTTCTTCCCAGCCGGTTTCCGGGTCGGAAAATGCAAAATACTTTAACAAATTGTACACGATTTAACAACTGAACATTTTGATTTTGGCTCTTGGAGATCGCCATTTCTTTTCCCCGGAAATTCTCTCTTAAGACGAAAAGTAGAGACTTGGAGAATGGTCTGAGAATGACCTATGGCCGGTCGGATGGAGTCCGGCATTGTTTATGATCGGACATTCGAAAATTCTTTCCTCGTCGTTAATAAAGACTCTAGAGCCTCCTGGACCGCCAGGTCCCGGAGGAAAAGTGCAATGGGATAATCAATTTCTTTCTTTGAAGGGAGGCGCCCCATCCCCTTGCTTCGTAGACGGAGAATTTTTATCCCCAAAGCTTTCGCTATAAATTCCTATCGAGCTGAATCAGAAATTCTCCGAGAGGAGCCTGCTTTGAGTGCTTTGCTCGGAAACTAAATGCGAGGCTGATATGTAAATTGTAGGGAATTTTAATTGCAAAGGGAGTATGAAGTTTTTTTTGGAGCGTTTATCCTGGGTGTATGAATTCCAACAATGGGAGACGGAGGAAAAGAGATGGGCAAGAGAATGGGAACTAATTTGCAACACGATATAAAATGATACCCTTAACTAGAGAATTCGACTGTTTTGCCAACCCTATTTTTTTATTATATCTCTGAGTCTAAAAATAATCGGACACGATTATACTTAATGTGCTTCGTGCTCTTTTGTAAAATAATTCAGGTGCATTAATTATCTTTGTCGAGGAGCTGCCTGACAGGAGAGGAAATGAATACATATTAATTCGAGTTTAATACGAAAACGCGGACTAGTTAATATCATCAATGATGTAATTGAACTGGATGTTAAATTACTTCCGGTGACGCTCTGAAAACTGACGTGTGATATCATTAATACTTCCTACGGTAATTTCTAATCAGTATCTAAATCGACCTAATTATTCGACCTGCATCTGTGCGAAGAAATTGCTCAAAAAACATTTAAGTTAAAATCCAGTTCAACGGGCATTTTAGTTACGGATGCATTTGATCATCCGGTTGTTATTTGCAATAATAACGAGGTGTTTGCATAACGAGCAGAGCGAGAAACGCATCGATTTCATTAGTGATATAACTGAACCCTGGGTAACTACAACGCCGACGTCGATATCAATATGCAGAATTAAAGCATGATTTTATCGACGTTTCGCCGGAATTAATTGCAGGGTACAGATCACCTCGTGCAGAGGTTCCTTAATCACGAAGACGATCAAACTGGAAAGCAACGAAATCATAAAGTAAAGTAGAAAGCAATAGACACAATATCCCCTCTGGCAGCGGTGCTCAATGTAAGCCTGAAATAAATTCCCACGAATCTTTTCATTTCACATCATTGAAATTAATTCCCGTCCATTTTTCAAATCTCACATTATTTGGAAGATCGTGTTTTAGCAGCTCGATTAAATAAACCCCGTTGTATACACTGCCTTGTTTACTCCCACTTTTTTATTAACCGTCAAATGAATGGTACATGACAACAAAATTCTGAAAAAATAGCAATTTCATCGTCGATGAAATTCCCGGAATTTCAGTAGCGCATCCGATACGCGTTAAACTCAAAATCGAGTTCGGTCTCGTCATACACGTGAAAATCCTCGTGAAAAAACAAAAAGCAAAGTCCAGATATTAAAAATTCCTCATAAACATTTTTCTATCGATCCGAGTCGAAGCATTTGTGATTTATTGATATACAATCGATGCTAATTCCACGTGACGTGACGTTTATCAAGATCACGAAAATACCTTACTCAAACAGGGTTACAAAGGCATTTTATCATCAATCCATCATTCGGAAATAACATCGAACTATTCGCGGATGTATTTTCATGCTTGATAACGTGAATTTTAATTAATCACGCTTCTGTTTCTCGAGGATTTAGGCGATGTCCTCGGAGTGCAGATATTTTGTACCTACACTCAGAGGGCAAATCTAGGTACCGTCCGTTCCACATTCGCTCTGGTTTAAATACGGCGATCCACTGATGGAGGTCTTTAAAGGTACTAATTGGGACATCGATCGATGAACGGGAATGCCCGAATTTCCGATAGATCCGCCTTTGGTGGATAACCGCTTGCGGTGGTCGACGATGTTCCGGAATACCAAGTACGTCCTGGTAATCCGCCTTACTGCGTGCTTCGTGGTGTTTCGTCATGTTCTCTGTACATGTTTGAAGGCCTTAATCCAGTTCTGGAAACAGGAGTTAACCAGAGACGCGGGATCGTGTCCAGGGGAAACGTAGAATTTCCGTTTCCACCCCCTAAACAGGCTGCAAACAGTTCATTTCGCTACAGGCAGAATCTCATTAACCCGCGAGGTCACGAAAATGGCGCGATTCGAACACAACGAAATTCCCAAGTAATGTAACATTTCCGACCCCGTAACAAAATTCCCTCAGGTTTCGAGTAGTAATGGAAAACAAGAATCTCGTTAAAAAAAAACCGCACCCTCCTTGTATAACCCAAAGAAATTCTTGCGATTTAATTGGAGGTCGTGTACTATTTTGGAAGGCATCGGGAAGCCGGAATTCCACACGCGCCTATATATATATATATATATGTATATATATTTGGCACGAAACTCAACCGAGTTTCTTAATAACGAAACAGCTGCGAGTTTCCCAAATGGTTTCTCGAGCATAGATTCTGCCAATATTGAGTGATAGAAAATAGAAGTCTCATTAACTAATCCATGTCTCCCTTGAATTGCCTAATGAAATTCTCATGATTTAATTGGAGAGCATGTACCACTTTGGAAGACATCATGAACCCGAAATTCGTTCCATAAGTGCCCCGTATATATTAAATAACGAAACAGCTGCGAGTTCCCCAAATGGTTCTCCGAGAACAGATTCTCCCAATATTGAACAATAGGAAATAGAAATCTCATTAACAAATCCACGTCTCCCTTGGATAGACCGAAGAAATTCTCGTGATTTAAATAAAAGGCATGTACCATTTCGGAAGACACCGTCAAGCAGAAATTCCACACGCGCTCCGAGTATATTAAACAATAACGAAACAGCTGCGAGTTCCCCAAATGGTTCTCCGAGCGCAGATCCTCCCAACTTTGTGTTTCCATTTGGTTGATAATAGCGAAATCTGCTTTCCAGAATATCTAGGGATGTTTGTACGTGCTGGAAGGACTTAATCCAGGAGTTTCCTTGGTTAGTCCGAAAAGGTCCTGGAAGGTTCCTTCCGACGTCACTGAGAAATTTCACCTCAAATATGTCCTTATTCCGAAGGAATAAAACGATCGTGCAGGTATTGCAAATTTTATGATCGATATCGCTGGCTCTGCATTTCCATCCATTGATAATACTGACGAGCCCTGCTTTGCTGGACATTCTAGATTTAATTTAGGGTTTGCTTCCCTCGGCTAGTCGCTTGAACACAGGTTCCCGGAAAATCGGCTGATTTATTCTCTCGGGGATTATAATGTACCCCGGGCCTGGAATGTCCAGCACGTTCCGAATAAATGAAATGATAATGATGCAGGTGCCGCGAGTTCCATAAACGACATTCCGTGCTGAAACTCCTTCGATCTCCGCATTCTCATTCCATGGGTAATGGCGGAAGCCCTCCCGATCTCTGAAATTACTTCCAGGGTGACTCGGATATTACTCGTATAGAATTAGGAAGTCGTTAAGAATAACTTTGCAGAGCGTGACGACGTCTATGCCCAGGTCAAAACTGCAATGAAATGTCAATTAAACGTCTCCTTCTATAAAAAAAAAAAATGAATAAAGGAAAATGAAAATGAAGCGCGCTATAATTTAACTCGGGCGCTTGCAGTACGTATCGTCTTGATAAGAACGGTGTCGGGGAAAAAGCCGGAAAGTTATTACTGTTCTTTTATCGGCTTACCGCATATTTACAGCGGTTTTACTAGGCATAAAAACGCGGTAAAGGGATCCGAGAAAGAACGAGAATATTAACGCTGCTAATAATGCTAAACGTCCATCAGCTGTTTTCCTGCCTCTTTTTTCCCGTAATATATAACCGTCGATTTTCTTGATAAGAAATAATTCCAAGGAAATATTGGATGGGCCATATTAAAGAAGCTTTTTCGATTTGAATAGAGAAGCAAGGGTTTGGGAATTCAAGAGAGGTCGAAGAAAAATAGTTTCTCGTGTTTTCGCCGAGGTTCTTCTCTCGTTATCGACTTTGTCTCTCTTTAACGTTCAATCGTCTCCACATAAGTGGACAATTTCTCAAGTTCTGAGAGAGAAGGCAAGTCTAGCATGGGAATTGGATATTGCGCGGGGCATGGGAATATTGCCCTCTCCTAATAAATTGGATCGAAAAATACTAAAGCGCGAATCCATGGCAAATCTGCTGCGTATAAATCAAAGCTCTTTCAGCCTCTTTGAATGCCGTTGCTACCGGGAACGGATTTTCAATCATCAAATTGGGAACAAAATGGATACACCCGAATTGCATCTGCCCGTAGCAGGGACATGTGCAAAACCTGGAAGGATATCTTGTAGCATTGCAAAGTTATCTAAGCTAAGTAAAACAAAAAAATGTAAAAAAAAAGACTTCCAGACTCCTTTGAAGAGTATTTTCAAAAAATTCCACGTAAAAATGAGCAGATTTGTAGATAAGTAGCTCCTGATTTCAAGCGACTGGACTTTAAAAGGATTTATATTTGCAAGGTTCCAAGGAAAGGGGTTCCAGGTGCTATAAAAGCGGTGTTTAAGGGGTCTCGTTTATGAATTTGTTTCTCTGAACTCGTTTTACCGAATCGTTTGAAATTTTACCACAAGCGTACGGAGGTCATAAGTAAAATTTTGATGTACATAACATTTAATTCTTTTTTACATTTGTGTATATACAAATTTTATGTTGATTTTATGATAATGCAGTTTTATGAGTGCTAGGACTTTTATTAGGGCCTCCATATTTCACATTCATATCGCCTTAAGGACCACCGCGCGATGTCCATCGCGGAATTACGAGGGGAGATTGCGAATGTAACATCCGTCGGCGGCATATAATGTGGAGATTAAAAATTGATTTCGCCCCGGGATTAACATCGAAATTGAACGGGTTCGCGTCTGCTGGGGAAATCTCCTCGGCTCCGGCCGAGGACTTCTCGCTGATATAAGGGGATCCTTTCATTTCCTTGGAATATTTCGCAATGGCCGCACAATGGAGATCGCAAATCTCTCGCAGAGCTCGAATCTCTCTCTAAGAGATTTGGATCTGCGAGGTGGACTTGCTGAACGGAAGAGCGGACACGTAGCGGACTGTATTACCGCGGATACCGAACGGAGTACATCGGCTAGCACGTGGGTTTCGTGTCGGCCGAATGTCTCGGAAATGGATCCAGCGATGGCCGAACAATCCGAAGACAACGCCTAGACAATGCCGGAGCAACGAGGGAGCAACCGGACGGTACCAAGGGATGACCCATTGTCAGCCCTTACGACATTTTGGGCCTCGTCTCTCGCTTCATCTACTCTCCGGACCGAATGCTGTCCCCCAACCGACAATTTGTCCGAATTTCCCGGCGAAGGTGCAACTTGGTCCCACTTACCGACTAGAATGAGGATAAATGCTGGGTCGAGGGCGATGTTTGTTAGGCGAGACAAATTGTTGAAGGTGTCCTTCTCCATCCACGCCCAAACGCCCACCGCCATGATGCCCAGACCGAGTAACTGCAAAGAGAGAAACGAATTTAAGCGATTAATATATCATTTACATCACGATAGGTAAGGGGATATTTCCTGTACCACTTCGTCTTAAACTCATTTTGTATTAAGACGTATTTAATAAACTAGTAACCCTCTTAATGTTCGATTATTTTAAGAATGAAGAGTTTCTGGTGTATTAGGATTATGCAAAGTAGATGAATTCTTGTCGATTCGTGCGACTTTGGGTGAATTTTCCAACAATGCGGACAGGACGAAAGTCCTGTCCGGTATTGCTTGCCCGTTCCGCGGCGCTGCGCGGAATATTACTCCGGGAGGGCAGCACTTAAGTGATTCCTGCAACGCCGTAATTACTTTACGCAGAAATTCGAGGCGCATCGCACGCTGCGAGCCCTCCGGGACCTGCGGGAATTAGTTGCATAATGCACACAGTCTCAGAAGCAGCTGGAACGGCGCATTTTCCACAGTTTGGTAAGGTAGTCCTTAACCGCTGCACGTGGTGCACGCCGCTCCGGATTAATGGCTCGCGATTGGCTGAAATCCTCGGAGCTTCAACCGTGCAACATTTTGCACGGCTGACTTTTTATAGAAAAATAAATAAAAAAAAATAAAGACAAGTTCCTCGCCTACAAACGATGCTTCTTAATACCCCACCCATAAATTTCCCCAGAAAATTTCTGCTCCGCACGAAATAGGTAATTATTTTTAATATTTAAGGTGACTTCATATTTTATGCGAAGTGAAGTGAACTCGCACACAGGGGATTACTTCGTGCCCGTGGGACTGAATTGTTTAACGAGTTGAATTTTTTAAATGCCTCTTTCAAGAAGCTACTTTTACCGTTGCCGAGCATGTTTTTAGCTCCCCTGCTTATCCCTGTAGATTGGGATTAATTAAAAAAGCAAAGGGAAGACGTCGAACTTCCAGCTGGAATCGCTCGGAGGATCTTACAGGGTGGTCTAATTAATTCCAATCGCAAATAAATTATCCGCCGAGTTCTCTGGCGAACTTCGGGGCGGATTGTTTTCGGAAGTTTAGCCGCGCAATTAAGTTGTCTGAAAGTGCCGCCACCGCGATTAACCAAATTGCGGGATAGAGATTTCATTTCCGGCCGTGTTGACAAATGCAGGTTCGCCATCTTGGATATTGGTAGAGGATATCTTCGACTTTCCTTCGCCGCGGGGAATTCATATTTTTATTCTCGAGTGGTAATGAGACTTTTAGGATTTTTAGAGTACCGTACTCTTATCGAACTTCTCTTTTTAGAAAATCGGACCAGGTTTTGATATTACCGCGAGAGGAGAGTGCTAATGGCGGCCCTCTTTGCGAAGATGCATTTATTCGACGCGGTTTCCGCGCGGCGCTTCTCTCGCGGTAATGGTAATGGAAGATTATGGCCTTTGCACGGGCGCCGTGTGCATTATTAAGACGTCGGAAAATACGTAATCCCACGATTCATAAATATGAAATTTGCAATTTCCAGGTTAACAGCCGAGCTGCGCCACGGGGCTCGAGGGAGGTCTCAGATAATCCAAGCACGTCGACCAGTTAGCAACGTCGTTAATTGCATTAATTAAAACCAACTACCCAGAATCGATGATAACTCGGTTATCCCTCGTGATAACCGGAACATCCGCCGGGATATTTCCAGCCTAGCGGGAAACTCTTTAAACACGTGAAATCTTCGCAAAAACGTCCACCCCTAAAAGATATCTCCAATGCGTTTCACATTACCGGTCGATAATCCAATCCTCTTTCAATTTGGAAATAGATATGCAAACAATCGATCAAAATTCACTACCGTTATGAATAAATGTATATTACAGGGACCATCTAAGAAATGGTCCGCAAGAAACTTCTCATATATGTACCCTCTATTGCGCCAATTATCGCGAGAGGAACGGGATCGCGTTTACGCAAAACGAGACCTTCGGGGAGAATTCGGAAATGCGAGGAAAATTCTTTTTACAGGGAATCGTTGAATTTCTGGAGCGATTTTGGACACTTGGTGGAGTAAATAGAGATCTTGGAGATACCTCCTCGTTAATTCATTGGGAATTCGGTCCGGTCTTGCTTGTCCATTTGCTCAGCATATTCAATACGATTTATATCCTCGGCTTCTTCCCGGGGGCGGAGGATATTTTATTCACGGGAGAACTAGCGTTTTAATTAATATTGCAGCGAGGAAACTCCGTTAATCCAGGGGCGTCGGTTTTAATCAGCTTTGTCGGTTCGGTTGGGTATACCTTTACTCGGAGCCGCGATCGCTGCACCCGATCGAGCATAAAGCTCGCCGTTCCTTCTGGAATTGCATTCATCTGCTCCTCGGTGAGTATTTTGAAATTGGATCGTGCCATTTACTGCCGTAAAGCGTTTCCGAAGGGATTTTAGAGTCATTAACGCCGACGTCGAACTTACGTCCGTCCATCGATGGCCGCTATCGGAGGGTATCGGACATTTCTGCAGTGCAAGGTGTATTCCTACTAGATTTCTAAATGCTCTGCTCGATGTACTTACCACCCTGCAAATGGGGCGTCATGATTTGAAGGCTTCGACGATGCCAGAATTATTTTTAATTATCTCTAAGCATTAATATTCTGATAATTAACCCCCGGTGACCCAATTTTTTAATCAAGCCAAGGAGAATCTGGTGTTACATGATTTGTAAATATTATCCACTTGTGTGTAAATTTACAATTTATTAACAGAATCCTTGGTTACCGAAGAGTGCTTAAATAACAAGGTGCTACATTAAGTCCTGCCGAATAAACCAAATAAGAACTGTCTTAAAAAATTTCGATATACGAGTACATGACTTTAAAGTCATAATAGCTTATAGGGAGGTAAGTAATATTTTTATAGGACGAGTACGTACAATCTGTCCTAGATTAATCGTTATCATAAGGTAAAAGGAAGGGTGGAATTTTTTACTCGGGCACCGAGCCTGCACATCGAGCTGCAATTGCAGGGGGTAGACTATAAAGCTCACTGTTCCTTCTGGAATTGCATCCGCTCGCTGCTTACCGCTCATTTTAAAATTACGTTCAGCCGTATACCGGCATTGAGCTCTCGAGGGGATTTTATAGTTATTATTCCCTAAATAAGTGCGAGAATGCCGACGTAAAGAGAAATACCCTCGCGATGTACAAGGGGCAGGCATGGTTGAAGAGTACTTGCGTTGGTACACTGCGAGCATACTTGGCGTACTTGGAGTACGCTGGTTTACCGGTACAGCGAAATTCGTTTAGAAACTGCTGTTTTACGGTAATGGGTTCATTGTGGACGGGGATGGGCACGGTTGCGCCCATTCGATGAATACTTCCGCAACGAGCAGAACATTTCAACGCACCAAGTACATCGCGATTCTCTATGTCCGGGTAAACATTTATTTACCCCCTGTTTCTTTCAACGCGTGCACCAAATCCCTCGATGATGCTCGATACGTGATACCCATTGATTTTCGACCATTGATTTTCGTTCCCTTCAATCAGAATCCGCCACACTCATCAAGAGACCATTTGATTTTACTCGAAACAGGAAAATGTGTAGTTAATATTTTCACGTGAATCATTCGAAGCACGTAAATGTGTACTTAAAATTTGGGAACGCGCCACGGTGGAAATTTGAAATATCGAAGAGGGAACGGAATGTTTGCTGAGGATTTTTACATTTATAGAAAATTATTGAAGGAGATTCACGCCGCGGTTCGACGTCCATTCCGACCCAAGACTACGACGGTATAAGAGGAGGCTCTCTATAGAGAGTCGAGGAGTCCGCTTAGTAAAGCGACTCGAGGCTCCCGATCGCGGGGCCGAAAACTCCGAACAAGTCGGGAACTTTCAAGCTCAATTAAACTCAAACAAACTTGACGACGTCGGCCGGCAATGAGAGCAAACGAACGTTCAAAAGTATCCCCTCTCGGCCGCGTTCGGAGCCCGATGCCAATTTTTCGAAGGAGGGGAACTTCAAGCCGCGAAATCGCACGTGAGGAGAATGGCGAAGCTCGACTTCGCACTTGTGATTACAGAAAAAATTGATTTATTACAAAATAGAGCCGCGATGGTTGGACTAATAGAGTCTAAGTGATAAGATCGTACATTTATCTAAAATCTGTGGTTACTTGACATCATCCACGGCAACGATTTCTAAGAATTTATTATCAACACCATACCCATCACTGACGGCATTTCCTTCGCGCCAGTTTCTGCAAAATTAAATATAAAAAAAAAAGACCCAACGAAGAGAAGTCAACCCGATGGCACCAACTTCTTCCTCGAAACCCACCCTTTCATTTCTTACCCCAGAAAGCTCGGTTTAACTTTTAACGACCCGAAATACACCGGGAAACTGAAAACCACAAGAGCCGGAAAATGATCCGCCATGGTTCGTGATGGGGAACCATCGCGAGGGAAGAATTGGGACTGAGTAATGAGACTTCGTGTCGGCGTTCAACTACCCATTCGTGGTAACTGCACTTTTCGGATTTAATCGAAAAGTTGGAATTACAGGTGAGAGGGTGAAGTCTTCCAAACTGGGGCTCGGACATCTAACGTTGTCTTTTGCGTCTCCTCAACGTACATCGGGACTGGTAGACACAGTTAAAGTCATGAATGCCTTCTTGAGAAACATTGTCGAAGTAATTCGTAGGGGAGCGAATCATGTCCGCTAGTGTACATCTTCGCAGGGTTTGCGAAAATGCCAGGAAAAATCCCAATTGCGCCGGCAGAAATTGCCGGTGCAGTTACACGGGTAAACGGGCACGGCCGTGTTCCCCTCCGTGAAATTCGCCAGCGATTAACCGATTTCCCGGGTTTTCGATTCCCGCCGAAAATGAAATCCGGCCGTGCCCGTCCATTAGGCGCTTTTTACGAGGTCGGCTGGTCGAATGCCGCGAGTGAAATAGTACGTATGAACGCGGGAATAACTCGGGCGGAATTTCATAAACGGTTACCTAGGCGTCGCATTGGTTAGGGCATGTCTCCCCGGTGATATGTGCACGGCTCAAA